AAGGTCATAGAGAGAATGGGGAATAGAACTGGGATTCCAAAGACCACTCTGGAGTCCATATAGCCTATGAAAAAATGTATTAAAAAATCCAGACACTTGGTAGGAGCTCAGTCATTGTTATGTTGTTATTCACTTAATATATAATTAATTACAGGTTAGCTATACTGATAATTATGTTAATATAATTAGGTATCATAATATATAGGGTTATGTAATACATTATAGAATGCATTAATTACATGAATTAGTTGTACACATTTTAAGTGGAAAGTTGACTAAACTTGGAGCTGGATGATCTGACCCACAGTTTGGCTCTGCTCGTTATTAATTCTGCCAAAGGCAAGTCACTCACATACGATTCTCGTACACAGGCATGAGTGAGACTTGGTAACTGTTCAATAAATATTTGTTGAAAAATGAAGAAATAAACGAATGAATAAACAAATGAAAGAGTAAATGTTTGCCTCTTCTGGGCCTTAAAAAATGACTCTCATTGTGTTGAATAACTAGTTAACGCTCAAATGAAAACTTCATTGTCAGTAGTCCCAGTCAGAGGTATCCCAGAACACAGCGACCCCCTGTGGTGATCAGCGGGTACTGCAAGGGTTATTGCGCAGGCTTCCTAGGAAAGCCCAGGATTTGCCTTGCCGGGTCTTTGCTCCTCTCTGCAGCCTATTCACCCTAGCCTGAGGAGTAAGATTTTGGCATAGTCCTCTACCTGAATGCTTGCTTACCTACATAATATTGCAATGCTCTGGCAGAATACATTTTGCTTGGCTTTATTAGAGAGTTCCAGGAGTCAGGAAAGATCTTGAAGGCAGGGATGTCTGAGGGTAAGATGCATATACTGTTCTTTCACAGTTTATGGTCTTATATTGACCTTTTGAACTACATTCTTTTATACTTACAAATGAACTGAAAACATTACAAATAATGAAAATGTCACGTATGAAGCCTGCTGTTGATCCAGTCCTTTTATCTCAATCCACACATTGAAACTTTGGGTACTAATCCTGCTACATACATTATTTAGTTCTCACAACAGCCCGACAAGAGAAATGATCTTATTTATCCCATTTTACAAAAAGGAAAGGAAGGCTTCAAATGTTTCAGTAACTCAGTGACACATCCTGACTGGCAGAGCTAGGATTGGCACTCAGACTGCCTTCTAACACAGGCGTGTATGCTCAGTCGCTGTGACCCCATGGACTGTAACCCACCAGGCTCCTCTGTCCGTGGAATTCTCCAGGCAAGAATACTGGAGTGGGTAGCCATCTCCTCCTCCAGGGGATCTTCTCAACTCAGAGATCGAACCTGTGTCTCCTATGTCTCCTGGATTGCAGGCAGATTCTTTACCCACTGAGTCATGACGGAATCCCAGTGTCTTCTAAACACATATTATCTCTCATAACAGAGTAGAAAGAAAAGTAGGCCAGAAGGAGAAAAGACCAACATAACTGGCATTCTGCTTTACTTCCTTCCGTAAATAAAACGCAAGTACCTGGCTTGTTTTGAACTATCCTTTCCAACAGCAGCCCTGGCAGAACTGGGGAGATGCCAGCACTAAGCAGGGATATTTTGTCAATTACAGAGTGACGTATAAAATGCCTTTTATAGANGGAGAGAAAAAGGTTAATAAAGGAAAAGAAGTAATAGCTAGATAAGAATGACAAACAGCTGGCAAGATTCTTCCCCCAATTGTATTCAGAGCAGGCATGCTAATGACCATAGATCTCTCCTCGTGAATGTAAATTCTGCCTTGGACTCCTCACCACGGTGCCCCTTGGCAGGTACAATAAAAAGTTCAGAGTGGATAGACGAGAAGAAATCTATTTACCATCTTTGATATAGAGTTTGTTCTCTGACACTATAGGAATACCCCTGATTTCCCTCACCCCGTTTTTCAAAACTAGCTTAAGTAAAGAACCCACATGCTAATGCGGGAGATGCAAGAGATGCAAGTTGGATCCCTGGGCTGGGAAGATCCCCCAAAGAAAGAAATGGCAATTCGCTTCAGTATTCTTGCCTGGAAAATTCCATGGACAGAGCAGTCTGGTGAGCCACAGTACATGGTGTCGCAAAGAGTCAGACATGACTGAGCGCACACACACACACACATAAAATGAAAACATATGTACAATGAAGGTAAAGTTTTTAAAAATGCAGTTTTTTTATTTTTATATAAACTAAAACACCAGAGCTTATTGATTCCTATATTAAATACATAAATTATAAAATAACCATTCATAAAACTTTACATACAATAAGTTGGTTCCAATCTCTACGGTAATACATACAGTACATGTACATGTTCAGTGTACTTCAAAGGGTCATTCTGGTGAAACTCAATTTATATTTTTCTTCCATTAATAAACGAGCACTGAAACAATCAATGGAGTCATGCTAATGAGATGGAGAGAAAGAACCCCAAGTGAAGCAGATGATTGAATGAAAGCTCCGAGAAATTGGCTCCCCTGGCTCTATTAACACAGTAGATACCTGGGGAACGATGTACTCCTGTGCACTGGCTGTCCCGTACCCCACTACCGAAGTCCTACTGAGTCCCTGAAAAATTGGATCTTGAAAGTTCAAGTGGGCAAGAACCCTTTTCGGAATGAGATTGTTAGCGGATACAAATATGGGACTTTGGACTAATGTTAATACTGTAGATTGTGCTGGATTCTGTTGCTCTTTCCAGAAGACCACTGGCATTATTAGAAGGCTAGTTGGCAGGTCTGAGTAATTGGAAAACCAATGAGTAGTTCTTTGCTTCAGTCAGAAACAGAGAATAGCAGTAATGGACAGAAGGTGGAAAAAAGCGAGGAGAGACAAGCAAGGAGGGGAAGAACACAGATATCAGACACTGAACAAAAAATGAGTTACCCAGCAGCCTCAGAAAACCACTTCCCAATTCCTCAGTCCTGGGACAGAAGTACACATTCTGTAAGCACTCACACCATCATACTATATACAGACTATATATGTGTATATATCTACATCACATATTTATAAAAGTGTTTGGGTTGTGATCTGCCTCATTGTGGGAAGTTATGGTTAAGGGGGGGAAAATAGGCACATTTTGTGACTTATCAATCAAATATAAGTGACTGCTATTATCACTGGATGCTGGGGACCTTGTTTTGGGAAACTGCTTCATCCACACTACAGTGAGTTCATGGAGGCTTGAGTGTAGGCAAATTTAGACTCCAAGTTGTTCATCTACAGCACTCTCACCATACAGAACTTTGATATCACAAGGATGGAAATATAAGCATGGGAAGAAAGACATCAATGCAAAACTACAAAGATAAAAATAGGGAACTTCACCCAACCAACTACCTGTACTTCTGAGTTTGGTATACTAGGTTGAATATAGCAAATTATAATCCTTCTATTTTTGCCACATTGCCCCTTGAAGTTTATCTTTAGCGATTTTGGCTAAACATTGGACTTAAACTCTCAATAATAAAAGACTTATTTAGAAAGAACTAAACTGCCAAACTAAAGGCAGTAAAGGAATGTGAATCTGCTCTGCCCAGTACTGAAATGGGATCATAGAGGATGAACTCCAGCTTCTATTATGTCTGAATCCTCTTGCCACAATGCCTGAGGCTCAGTCTTAAGACAGTATATTATGTAGAAATGACAAGGCAGGTGAACAGGATGGAAGTGTTTGGCACTCAAGACCTTGTGCCCTACTTTCTTCCTTTCAGAAAGTGGGAGTCCACTTAAGGGGAGGATTGGGCCATCCTGGAAACATCAACTCATGACAGTCATCCAAGACTTGCTCTGATAACTGATCTCTCAAGTTATACTGAACTATTTCAGTATAGTAGATAAGTATATATATATACACATTCATATATATATATGAATATATATATATGCTGTGCCATTCTTTGACAGATCAAGAAATACAATTAAATATTTAAAAAACAAAATGTCTATGCTGCCAATCTATTTTGACAGATAAAAAATGCAATTAAATATTTTAAAAAAATGTCTATGCTGTGCATCTATTTTGATGTAATATAACACATAAGATCCAGTTATTTTGCATCAGCACAGAACTGATGAATATTATTTTTACAATTTCCATGAAAACCTAGGAAGGTTAAAAAGACATGCTTCATTTTTAAAACAATGAACTTAAGAATTAAGTTGAAGACATTGAATACATGAATTACACAATGGGCTTACAAAAAAAGTTGACAATCAATAGGCAAAAAAGAACAAGTTGGCCAGAACTTGTGCCCTACTTTCTTCCTTTCAGAAAGTGGGAGTCCACTTAAGGGGAGGATTGGGCCATCCTGGAAACATCAACTCATGACAGTCATCCAAGACTTGCTCTGATAACTGATCTCTCAAGTTATACTGAACTATTTCAGTATAGTAGATAAGTATATATATATATACACATTCATATATATATATGAATATATATATATGCTGTGCCATTCTTTGACAGATCAAGAAATACAATTAAATATTTAAAAAACAAAATGTCTATGCTGCCAATCTATTTTGACAGATAAAAAATGCAATTAAATATTTTAAAAAAATGTCTATGCTGTGCATCTATTTTGATGTAATATAACACATAAGATCCAGTTATTTTGCATCAGCACAGAACTGATGAATATTATTTTTACAATTTCCATGAAAACCTAGGAAGGTTAAAAAGACATGCTTCATTTTTAAAACAATGAACTTAAGAATTAAGTTGAAGACATTGAATACATGAATTACACAATGGGCTTACAAAAAAAGTTGACAATCAATAGGCAAAAAAGAACAAGTTGGCCAGAAATTTATTTTAAACTAAAAATCACCAAAGTAAGTTGAAATAAAATACTGTAGCAAAAATCAGTTGGAAAAAGTTTATTTGTTCTATTACTAATGAAGAATACACTTGTTCTACTTCAGTGATGACCCATGAGCCCTACATCATCTCTGTCCTCCTGAAGATCCACGCTGCCTATGTGGGCAGTGTTTTTTTGTTTTTTTTTAATACAAAGCAAGATTTATTCTTCTACCACTAAAACTTCACTATTGGCAAAAATTTCATTTATATCACATAAATTAAAAGGGATTTTGTAGCTTATTTTAGCAAATTCTAGTGTTACCTAAAACAAAACTTGGGTGGTGTTAAAAAAAAAAAATTAGACAGCCAATTCAGCATCTGTTGATGCTTTCTGGTTTTATAGTCAAATATAGTCTTCAATTTATTTTTCCTTTCTTGTGAAACTTTTCCTGTTCTGAATAGTTATGCTAAATTGGGGCTTTCATTTTATCTCAAACTATTTTTTAATATTTTCAGTTGTTTATTTTCCAAGAGATGAAGGCTTTAGGAAAAGTTAAGTAAAGTGAACCCTGAAGAATGCTGTTCTGATTGTTCCTCATTCATTGGCCAAATATGTCAGGATAGCTAAGATGAAGAAATTAGGTATTGAAGATTGGAGTGGGGATCATCTGATCTCTGTAAGAAGTAGAACCACAGTCAATCTCTCAATTGTTGAGACACTTTTTACTCTTGCTGATCATGACATGCAAGGGAAGCATTCATCTGGATATGGTCCATTTCCTTGGATCTACAAGTGACTGGAAAATACATGTACAATTTTGCTGGTGGTTTTTATTATTGTGGAAATGCATAACAAAATATTTAGCCTTACTCAAAGATTTGTTACTTTTGAAGGTCATGAGTAAAGTATGGTAAAAATATCATCTGTTAGCTTAAAATCTTAGAGAAATTTACTAACCTCCTTGATCTTAAGCAAAAAGAAAGAATTCTTTTTTTTCCCTTGCATTTTCCCTAAACATATCTAAAGCTGCTTAGATGGTCATACTCATGGGGATTGCTCTTGTATGACTTTGTGTATGTGACACAATCCAATTTATAGCAGATAAGGTATCTGATTAAGCTACATTATTTTAATAAGTATTTCTGATCACCCAAACCATAATCAGTGCCTGAATATAAAATTTAAGCTACAAGTTTCTTGGTGGGGAAAGCAAGATGAAGAGGAAGGAAGTAGGTTTGGTGGAGCAGATGGAGTCTGAATTTACTCAGATGCACCCTGGGATGGCCAATGGAAGAGAAAAGTCATCTAAAATATGGGAGAGTAATTTATCCTCTTCCATACGTTCTGAGATTTGAAAGTGTTGGGTCACAAACTGTAGTAGCACCCTTTTTTACATTGCTTGCACAGTGAACGTACTCTTCATACTTAATATGGAAACTACCTGTTGAACAGAGAATCCAGCAGAAGGATGGTTCTATTGTACATCCCCAGTAGGACATCTACAAGACCTCCCCCCAAATCAAAGGGATATCCATCAGACTAATTATGTGATACTCTCAGCTCACTCCAAACCTTAATTTCATGGCTGGCTCTCTTACGATGAGGGAGGACTTCTGTATTTTGGCATGCATATGCAGTAAGGGGAGCTAGAAGATGCTTCTCGTTGAAATGACACATTCTTCTATCTTGTTAAATAGCATGAAAATGATCTATTTACTATAGGTGATTAGAGCTCCTGGTTCTGGATTACTCAATCTTTATTGCTAGTAATTGACTGGAAAGGTTCAGTACCGCGGTGCTTAGATTGAAAGAAACTGAAGCACTATTTTATTACACAGGGGACTCTTTTTCTCAACACCACAAGAAAGTCAGATATAGCAGTCATCATAATTACAAAGCACTTTATGCTACTTTAAGCACCTCTTGTTCCAGAATTGCAAAAAAGAAAGAAAGAAAAACCTCATGAAAAAGCATTTTAACCTCATTTTGCAGATGAGGAAACTGAGGCACAGAGAGGTTAAGTGACTGGGCCAAAGATACCTGGGTCAGCAGTAATAAGAACAAAAAGTGGGACCCCTGCATTGTAGCTTTAATTGTACTTTCTTCAGTTACTGTTCTGGCTTTAAAAATGCCAGCGCCAAAACTGAAGAGTAAGATACTGAATCCACGTGTGGAAGGACTTGTGTAGCATTTCATAGAAAGAGTTTCTGGCTCCCTACACACATTCTTAATGCATGGGAATGCTAGCCCTGTAAATAAAATCTTGACAATTTGAAAAATTGAGGCTGTTTGTTATCTACAGTAAATGAGGCTAAAATTAGCTTTTCAGGAACTTTTATTTGCTCTCAGAGCTGAATCCAAGACTCAGTATTACATAACTTAGGAAAAGTACCAGTCTTCTAATTGTCTATGGTAGAAAATGACCTTATCAGTAACACAATGTTACTTTTATATAAAAAAGTAGAGCTACTTTGTTGCTGTCATATCTCTGGGAAAAAAAAAATTATCAGTCTAAATGACAAGAGGTCAGAATGCTCTAAGCATATCAGGATACTTCTAAAAATAATCATATTTTCACTTAATAGTCACATCTCTGTGGAAAACTCATTTGTTGATAGAAGTTTACTTATCACCTCTATTTGTATCAAATCACATGTTATTTGCAGGCAATTTTAAGCAGCCATTTGAAGACCAGTATTTTGGAAATGGAAAGATTCAGAGATGCCTCTGGCCCTATAGTCGGTGGCATTCTTAGACAGAACTAAGTCAGGGAGCTTGTGATCTAGAGCATCATCTTCTTAATTTTCAATAAGAATGAGATCAGTTTGTTGTTCTTGGAGGACCACAGAAGGCCAAGAAAGCATCTGCTTTTATGCATCTTATGTTGCATTCGCCTGGATCCTTCACATTGGTTGCCAGTTTAGTCGGGGTCACTGTGATCCACTGCTCATCTGTCATGTGTGGAATGCATTCCACAAGCTCCACTGTTTGCAGAAAAACCGGACACTGTTTTTCTTCTCACTCACATTGCAGATGTCTCTGTTCCTGAGGTTTAAACAATAATAAAGACAGAAAAGCAAATCCCTGTAGTAAGAAACCAGACTTTTCAAATCAAACATTTTATTGTAAACAGCTCCTCATAGGTATTCCTCGTGCTTTGATCCCCACCCCCCTTATCTTTCTGTTTTGATTTTTTTTTAATGATGTTTATTTCAGGACTAGTATTTCCATGGGGTGTGGTGTTACATTAAAATGACCCCCCCTGCACAGCAGGGGTAGAATGTTTCTTTGTAACTTTGGTTCCATGCCCAAGACACATCTTTGCTTGATCTGCTGAAACTGTTTCCCTTGCTGAATTGTTTCTTTCACACAATATATGTCTATAGTTCTTTCCTTCTGGTTTGACATATACATGTTTCGTTAAATGCAGCATATATTGTAGATTTTCAACAGGGTCATGTAGGAACTGTCAAGTAAGAAACCTTGAATAATGGCTTTAAAATACACAGGTGTAGTCCTGGCTACAGGATGGGTCTTAGCTTTTGATCTCCCTTTCACTGCTGTAAACATTTCTGCCATCTTTGAAGGTTTAGAAGTATTTGCTTTTCTGCGGTCTTATCCGTGTTTTCGGTTTCTCTGTAAAACAGAGGGAGAAATTCTTTAATCATTATTTCAGTCAATAGCTGAAACAGGAAAAAAAGCACAAATTCTTTTTTTTTTAATTAAAGAAAAAACCCATTTTTTATTCTTTACCACCTCTTGAAACAGTATAATCTTGTGCGTGTTATGTAAAGAAAGTCTCTAAGCTTAATTTCTTTCCTTTAAAATGAGAGAATAGAAATGTCTATTTCAAGGGTTGCTGCAATGTGATGCATGTGAAGCAATTAACAGTTCTTCTCTCATATTAAGTGGCCTGAAATATTAGCTATTATCAATATTGTCTTTTTCTCTGAGACTTTCTAAGCCAATGCCTTCAGGAGTTCAACTAAGATATTACTTTAAATTTAATCTTTAAAAATTTTATTGAAGTATAGTTGATTTACAATGTTGTATTAATTTATTCTGTACAGCAAAGTGACTCAGATGTATGTGTATGTATATCTATAATATATACACATATATATTTTATGTTCTTTCCCATTACGTTTTGTCACAGGATATTAAATATGGTCTCCTGTGCTATATAGTAGGACCTTGTTGCTTATCCATCTTATATTATATAATAGTTTGCCTCTGCTAATCCAAAACTCCCATTCCTTCCCTCCCCTAATACCAACCCCCCTGGCAACCATAAGCCTGTTCTCTTTCTGAGTCTGTTTTTGTTCTGTAGATATGTTAATTTGATTTGTAGTTTAGAATCCACATATAAGTGATATTACACGGTATTTGCCTTTTTTTTTCTGACTTACTTTGCTTAGTATGAGAATCTCTAGGTCCATCCATGTTGCTGCAAATGGTATTATTTCATTTTTTGATGGCTGAGTAATATTCCACTGTGTATATATATCACATCTTCTTTATCCATTCATCTGTTGATGGACATTTACATTGCTTCCATATCTTGGCTACTGTAAATAGTGCTGCTATCAACACTGGGGTTATATATCTTTTTGACTTATAATTTTGTCTGGATATATGCCCAGGAGTGGGATTGTTGGATCATATGGCAACTCTATTTTCAGAGTTTTCAGAATATTTTTACTGTTTTCCACAGTGGCTGTACCTATTTAAATCCCCACTAATAGTGTAGGCATGAGTGCGTACTGTTGCTAAGTCATGTCCAACTCTTTGTGAACCCATGGACTGTAGCCCGCCAGGCCCTTCTGTCCATGGGATTATCCTGGCAGGAATATTGGAGTGGGTTGCCATTTCCTCCTTCAGGAATAGTGTAAAAAGTTTCCCTCTTCACCACAGTCTTTCCAAAATTTGTTATTTGTAGACTTCTTAATGATGAACATTCTCATGGGTAGGAGGTGGCACCCCATTGTAGTTTTGATTTGCATTTCTCTAATAATTAGTGATGCTAAGCATCTTTTCAAGTGCCTATTTCCCATTCATATGTCTATTTAGGTCTTCTGCCCATTTTCAATTTCTTTTTGGGGGGGCTATTGCTGTTAAGTTGTATGAGCTCTGTATATTTTGGAAATTAAGTCCTTGTTGGGAAAGAACTGAAGGCAGGAGGAGAAGGGGATGACAGAGGACGAGATGGTTGGATGGCATCACTGACTCAATGGACATGAATTTGAGCAAGCTCCAGGAGTTGGTGATGGTCAGGGAAGCCTGGCATGCTGCAGTCCATGGGGTTGCAAAGAGTTGGACACGACTGAGTGACTGAACTGAACGGAAGCCCTTGTTGCTCACATGAAATATTACTTTAAAAGCAGGTCTGTCTATGCCTTTCACTGACTTACTTGTATATCAAAATTTCTCTCCAACAACATTGTTTAATGGCAGATGGTCTCTATCCCAAAGTCCTGATCTGAGGATTCCCTGGGAATTTTGCTACACAGGTTTCCTGTTTGACCCCAGAGTATCTCTGAAAAGACATTTCCCTGGACTGGGCCAGTCAATACTTCTAGCCCCATCCCTCTTTAATTCTATGTATCTGGGTTTTTGCTTGGGTAGAAGCTTAGGACGTAATACACTCCTCTAAGAAAAACCAGAAAATGGCACAGAGGACATTTTATCATGTACTGCATAAGGACGTGACCTTTAGAGTCTGAATGGCATGGATGGAGAAAATGGAATTTCCATGAAAAAGCCATTTAACTTCTCCAAGGCTTAATTTCCCCATCTATAAAGATAACTAATTCTGTGGCAGAATTTAATGGTACCCCAGAAATGGTGGCCAAGATCCAAAGTGGTGGAAAAGGAGGTATGTAGTATCTTAAGGATGCTTCCAGTTCACATACCGAGGCAAATCAGAGATTCAAAGAAATTTCTGCCATAGGTGCAAGTCACAAGTATTTGGAACTCATATTTGTGGAATCACTTGGTTCATTCGCAAAGGCCAGATCAGACTGAGATGAAAGAGTGACCGAGTCACAGGAAAGTGAGTAGGAAGGAAGTACAGAGACTGGGATGAGAGTATACTGTGGGAGGGAGGTGTAGGTACCAAAAAGGCATAGAGATTGGTGGTGCTGGCACAAAGGAGCGCACTCTCAGTCACATCAGTCATGTCGGATTCTTGGCAACCCCATGGACTGTAGCCCCCAAGTTCCTCCCTCCATGGGATTTCCCAGGCAAGAATGCTGGAGTGGGCTTCCATTTCCTGCTCCAGGGGATCTTCCCTACCAGGGATTGAACTCAGATCTCCTACACTGCAGGCAGATTCTTTACTGCCTGAGCCACCAGTGCAGCCCTATAATATTCCCATTATCCTCAGTAAAGAAGAGAACTAATCTGAATGTGTTGGATGAAAGTGAAAGAGGAGAGTGAAAAAGTTGGCTTAAAACTCAACATTCAGAAAACTAAGATCATGGCATCTGGTCCCATCACTTCATGGCAAACAGATGGGGAAACAGTGGGAACAGTGACAGACTTTCTTTTCTTGAGCTCCAAAATCACTGCCAATGGTGACTGCAGCCATGAAATTAAAATATGCCTGATCCTTGGNCCGAAGTATTGGAGTTTCGGCTTCAGCATCAGGCATTTCATTTTAAGGTAGCTATCTTTATATATAATTTAAGTTAGTCTTTGGTTTAAGAACAGGATAGAATATAAATCATTAATAGGACAAATATTTGTATGGTTATTTACAGTATGCTTTTGCTACCTGCTAATAAGTGAAGCCCTTTTCTTCCTTACTTCCTCCTTCCTCTGTCTCGCCTGCTTTGGGCATATAAGTAGAATTAATCCCTTGCCAGTAATGTCTTATTCACTTGTATTATTTAAATCCAGATTATTCTCTGAAGAGAAAGATGAAAAGGTAACTACTTATTTTGGTTTAGTTCCTAAACTATTGTACTTGGCAGTACTAGAGGTTTTATTCTCAAACTTGTAAATTTGCAAACTCAGTACATGTGTGATAACCAACTTTTTCATAATAATAGCTAAGAGTTGCTGATTACTGAAACATGTGCCAGTCAATGTGGCAAATCCTTTATAAGCATAATCTTATTTAATTCTTTCAACATAATACCATGATGTAGTTAATACAGTCACAATCATTTCATGGAACAGGAAACCTAATTTTGCTCTAAACCTACCATGACACACTAGTATATGGCAGGATTAAAATTTAACAGTATATTTAACTTGAAAGCCATACATGTTAAACTACTCAGACTTTTTCCTGTATGCATTTTATATTATCCAGATACCAGGAATTTGTTATATTATTACTATTAATTATAATTATATATTTTTTTTCATTTGACTACTACAAAGCGTCAATTATGTGCTACTCTGGAGGAAAAGCAAATCAAATTTTGTATATCCCTCAAAAAAATCGGGAAAAGGGATGGGGGATGAGCATACAGCAATTTTAAATCCAAAGAATTATGTAGTAGTTAGTATACAGATCATAGAAGACACCTCTGATTGCTGATATATATAAACACAAGTGATGCTCAGAATATGAGAGAAAGGCCTCTTTCACATGTCAGGCACAACATGGTTAAAAGTGGACTCTGGCATGAGGCTGCCTGGGTACAAATCCTACACCTGTCCACTGTAGCTACATGGTCCTAGGAAAGTCACATGCTGTAGTCTTCCAATTGCAAAAGAAGAAAAAAAGAAAGAAAAGCAATACCTACTTGCTAAGAGGGATTTGTGAGAATTAATGTATCTATTACTTAGAACAACATCTAGCACGTAGCTGTTAGCCATTACTGATATTAATGGTCAAATTTACTCCTTTTCTAGCTAGTATTTACGAGTTTACGAGGCTTGATTTTTCTTCCCAACACCACGTAGTACTAGCGCCTCACTGAACTTCATTTGCCTCGTTGATTGTTATTTGGGGGTGGGAACTGCTTGTTTGCGATGCTCTGGCCATTTTGATCCCTTTCTAGAGAACCTTGCCCATTTTTCTTTAGATATTCTCATTTAGTTTAAGAGACTAAGCCCTCTTCTTTACATGCTGCAAGGCTGCTACTCTTTTTGTCAGACAAAGGATGATTTTCAGTCTTAAAAGAAAATCTTTTGGAGTAAGGAACAAAGCCAGGGAGTTGGTTCTATAAGGATACAACTTGCTGGGCATTTCTGCTTTACTTTTTCCTTGTGTCAGATCATGCTTTCCTGTTCCACATCCAGGTAACAAAGTTGATACCCACAGAGACAGAAAGCATCTCTTCCATTTTTCAACTTGTTATAGAAAATGTTAAGTAACACGGGGTGGGAAAAGATCCTTGCATAATATAACTTAATAAGATAACCAAAGTAGACACAGACCATGGTAAATGGACTTAGAACAGCAGGTAGCCCTTCTTTATTTTTAAGTAATGGTGTTAAGGTTTGTGCTTTCTGTACCTGGGTAGACATTAGAATCACCTGGTTAGCTTCTTAAAAATATAGATCAATCTTATTTTCCACTTCTCTCATCCTCTGTCTCATCTCCATGTCCGATAACCTGTTTCATTAAATTGGTAGTAAGGCTTTGAATTCTGTATTTTTACAAGAATTGGGAATCACTGTCTAAGATTCTTTTTACTTACATCCACTTACAAGAAATGGATTTGATAATATAATAATAGTGAGTCTTCATTTTTTTTTCTAAATTGACATTGAAAACTATCTTATTTGAAAACAAGATTCAATTTTCCTCAATATCCTGTTTTTCTGAATTCTGATGAAAATGAACTAGGAGAAAGGGTTAAAAAAAATCAGTCATTTTAACTTGTTAGATTTATAGGAGCAGAATTTTCAAGCTGGAGGAGACACTGAAAACATACTCCTGTTTCTTCACTTTTACAGAAGTGACTCTTTGAGTGTAATGAGAGGCTACAATGAGAATTCAGAGATTCACAGACATCAAGACTTTCCAAAGCAAGACACTTAGCTAGAAAAAGATTCTTGACTTTCATCATGCTTCATTTCTTTAATAATCACCCAAATGGACTGGATTGATTTCCCATTTTATGGCATTTAAGATTGGCATTTAAATACCAAATGTATTTTTTTAAAAACATGAACATAGTAACATGCTAGCATTCTTCTCATCAAATAAGTCTTAGAAGCACGTTTTGAGAATTAAATGGAATCTTACCTGTAAGAGGCACCTTGACATCAAGGCCATAGAATAAAGGCAAGAGAGAAGAACAAGAATAGAAACAGAAACTGCAGAAGAAAAAGAAGAGGATTATGTAAATCTGAATTTCTGTAGTGCCATTCAGGTTGTACAAAACCTCAGCTTTTCCATATTGCTCAAATCTGATCATTTTTCACATACACACAAAGTACCTTTTATTTAAAAAAAAAACCATACCTTTTATTTGTTCGCTGGTAAAGCAATACAATGAATAACTGGTGTTCAACTAACATCAACTGATACATTTTAGAATTCTGAGAGGGTCTTATAGGTAATTGGTCTAAGCTCTGAATTTTATAAGTGAGAAAAATAAACACAGAGCAGTTCATCAACAGACTAATTGCATATAATTTGATAGTACAGTGAAGCCTAGAGCTTAGACCTCCCGAGTCCTACTCTACTATGTGTTATTATCTCTATTTTTAATGTGTGAGAGTGTAATTAAAAAATTAAAAAATGATCAAAGTGTAGGCTTTATCACTCAATGCTATCACTATTTGGTTACTATGGCAGAGCAGGAAGAATATTAATTTGCAAGGTAAACCTATGATTGCTTATCCGCGTTGGGCACTCCTGAGAGGGAAATGGAACAGTATTAGGAATTACATTGGGGTACCAGGTATAACCACGGTCTGTGCTGGGTGAGTGAGGGTATGTGATCCTCCTACTGGTATGAACTATGCTTCTACATCAGAGGTGGCTTCAGACAGTAAATGTATGCCGTTGCTCCAGCTGGTCATGCTTCTGAGACAGATGTCTCCTTGTTTGACTCATAGAAGTTAAACAGAGTCTGAGCTGTCTCATTTCACCAAGAACCTTCACCAGAGAAGCAAAAACTTGGATGGAAAACATGCTTTGTGTGGCACTGGTAGGAAACCAACTGTATGCTAATTATAAAATCTTATAGGTCAGATCAGGTTTCTCAAATACTGATTTCCTTGGGGATTTACAGAGCCGCGAAGTCTTTTGGCTTGTTATGACCCTTCAGGAGCATTCTGTTGGACGTGACAGTTTTGAATAGGTCCTGGATGGCAGTCTCCTGTTAGGCATATTATTTGCCTATTTCCTTTAATGGAGCTACTTACAAAGCTCTTGCTTCGTGGTGGCAAAATTGCATGAACAAGTTATAAACATGGTGTGAAGAGCTATGTATTAGTGACCAGGCTACTAGATTGAAAAGCAGAAACTTTTTTTTTTCCCCATTCCTTGAAGATGGGTAGTGATAGGACGTCACCTGTAGTGAGAGTGGATGAAGGAGGGGAATGGAAGCCTTCCACTATTCCCATGAGATGGTCAGGTGTCAGGGCTACCTCTCTGGGCATAACGGGTGCTCATCACTTGATTTATGATGAGAGTCTAAATTCTGTGCCACATGGAGGGCAGGCTGTGGGCCTCAGGGTCAGACACCTGACCTCTGCTTTTGATTTGCCATAGACGGGTTATATGATTTTGTGAAAGTTGTTTAATGTCTCAGAGCCATTGTTCTATTATCTGTATAAAAGAGGAACATAATATCTGCTGTGTCTGTCTCAATAATCAGGAGAATCAAATGAGATGATGACTTTGGCAGTGCTTTGGATAAAGTGAAGAACAGCATGTGGGAAGCAATTCTGCTATGTTTGTTGCTATCCCCTGATTTACAGTGTGTGTGGGAATTGGGGACAAAGAAGGAATACTGTATGTGTCCTGAGGGGGTGATCATGTACCCAACAGGAAAGAATGAAGACTATCTCTGACATAAGTGATCGTTAGCTTTTTACTATGCTTGTGGATAAGCAGTATTGAGGTCAAGTGAATAGAAGTCGCTTTATAAACCATCTCTCATTCAAACCTCTAATCAGAAACCAACTGGATTGCCCTTGAAGTGGCTTAGTTTAGTAATACATATGGAATTTGCTGATTTAATAGCTAAATAATCCTCATTTTCTGTTAAGTACATTAACCTATTATAAATATTTAGGAAGTTCAGACCTGTAGAATGAAAAGTACACTTTACTTCAGCTAGGGTGGTGACATAACTAGATATAAAAAAAATTCCTTTTTCTGTTTTCCCTAAGTTATATGGGACTGAACTGAGTGAAGTTACTGGGGCAGCACTGTCTTCTCTGCAATTTCCTCCCAGAACCACTCCAGGACTGTTAAAGAATTAGCAGAGAGAGTGACTAGGACAAGGGTAGCCATTCAAAAACACGGAAAATGGAAGGCATCAGTGGTGTCCTTTGATGACCACGGAAACTGTGGCCAATCCCTGCCTTCTGTGGGTCTTTCTGCCAAACACCAGGAAACTAGACTCAGCTTCTAGTTTATTACACTTTACCTCTGCCTCATTTAATCCCACAGAACTAAACAGCACATTTCAGAAATGAGGAAAATTCAAACTTACAAGCTTACATAAGATACGCACTTCACATTTAGAAATTTTAAAAATTATACTTTGAGTTATATTTTCTTAGTGTTTCCTAATTTTCATGTAAGTGACTTCATTTTTTCCCTCATGGAACAGACGAGAGGAGGTGAAGGAAAGTGTTACTACCCCTATTTTGTAGATACAGCTTAGACATGGTGGGTAAAGTCACTTACCCAAGCTTAAATAAGTACATGAAGACTCAGCCTACAAAGGAATCTAGGGGTCTGACTGTTTGGCTACTGGACCTTACCAACTTCTTCTGAGAAGGACAACTATAAAAGCAATTTGGGATGAACCAAATTCTAATCGTTATCTTGGAAATAGCGGTGGTTTACTATTTGCTCCTCGGGTGCCCATGGAAGATACTGGAAAGCAACCATGATTTTTTGCAAGACAGGGCTTCAGGCAGCTACTTCCAGTCAATGAGATCAGAACTCCAGAGAATGCCTCTTGCCATCTCTGCTGTGTCCCTCCTCAGGCCTAGGGGGCTCCTGGCATCCTAGGCAGGACAATTCTGTGTTAATTATGCAAGACTGCCGAACTCACTGCAGCCAAGCAGTATCCCCGTGTTAGTCCTCTCCCTTCTTCCAGAGCACACACATTTCCAAATGCCATCTTTACTCCCCAAGAGTGTTGGCTGACTAGGAAAAAGCAGTTCTTCTCTCAGACCACTGGGGAAATGACATGAGGGCAAAATTTTCATGTCTCAATCTAAATTTCTGAACACATTATTTCAAAAAGGAAGAGGAAAGCAGAATAATGAAGCTAGGAGAAACTTTTGGAAAAGATGTGAAGATGGAAAAGGGAAAACTGAGGAAAGAAAACACTTACAGAAAAGAACAGGAATCAAAACAAAAGGCAAAAATGTATAACTGAAAGCAGATGCTTTGCCAGAACCCTGGTGTCTGACTACAGGGAGAGCTTAACTATATCTGCCTACACACAACACACAATAGCTGAGAAAAGAGAAAACACAGTGAGTGAAACCAACACTACTGTCTGATCCAAAAAATAAAGATTGAAATACACACTGAACTTCACACATACCTTTTCTTCTAGGTCCTTTATCTGTCTTTTCTGGATGTCTGTTTTATCTTCTAAGTCACGAATTCTCTGAAAAAAGGGGAAAAAAACTGAATGCTTTACAAGGTGTTAAGTTAAACAAGGTCATTCACCAACCTAAAACATAGAACTTCCCATAAAAACATTAGCATCTGGAAATGTCATGCATACATTTTTCTACACCTGGAGGGTTATTGCATATTTCAAAAATCGCCTGTACTCATATTCAAAATGATTATCATTGATTGTATTTTAAAAATATTTGCCATCCTTTTTCTTCTGGGTCAATCTACCTCTGCAGACCTCTCCCCTGTGAGAGAGGTATGGTTCTCACCCCACTGTCCTTGAGCTTGGTCAGCAGACCTGTTTTGGCCAGTGGAACATGAGTTGGGAGTAAGATGTGGGAAAGTCACCTCTTTGTGGCGACAGCTGTGTGTCCCAGAGCTAGAGAAAAAGGGACACATTTTGTTGTAAACCATTTGGATTAAGGTTTTTGACTGTTTATTGCCTCATTAAAAAATGGCTAAAAGTGGCTCACAAAAATGCCAGTAGTTGCTGTTCTACTTTTTTTTTCAATCTTATTTCAAATTTGTTTCAGGGTATGATCTTCTCATAAAACCAGATAGATCAATTTTCATAAAACAAAGATAGAGATTACACCTCAAAAAAAATCCANGAAGAACTGACTCATTGGAAAAGACCCTGATGCTGGGAAAGATTGAGGGCAGGAGGAGAAGGGGATGACAGAGGATAATATGGTTGGATGGCATCATTGACTCAATGGACGTGAGTTTGAGTAAGCTCCGGGAGTGGGTGATGGACAGGGAGGCCTGGCATGCTGCAGTCCCTGGGGTGGCAAAGAGTCAGACACGATTGAGCGACTAAACTGAATTGAACTGAATTTGTAAGTGAATAAAAGTTTTCAAATTTCCTTCTGGCAAATTAAAGGCCTTATATGTTCATGGCATAGGGTTACACAGTGTAGGCTTATAATTTAGTGCTTCTTTTGGGAATAACTAGAAAATGGAGAACGGGAGTCCAGAAGAAAACAACGGAAGCTAAATGATGTGATAACATGAAAGACCAGGTTTTACAGTGCAATGTGGGGAGACAAAACCATAAGCTGGAACAAACAACAGCTGAGCTTGGAAACTATATCCCCTCTCTGAACAGTGGTTCTCAACTAGGGGTGATTTTGCACCCCAGATGACATTCGGCAATATCTGGGCATTTAAAAAAGTTAAAGTGATTTTAATATATTCACAAAGTTATGCAACCATCACCACTAATTATCCAGACAGTTTCAAATCACATGTGATCACCAGTCACAACTAGCATCTAAGGGGCAGAGGCCAGGAATGCTCTAAATATCCTGCAGTACACAGATCACTCCCCGCCAACTTCCACGAAGAAGAATCATCAGACCCAAAATGTCAGTCAGGCAGAGATTGAGACATTCTCCTTTAAACGAAAGGGGGTGAGGTTTCTACAGGAGAGGAGGGTGTGTGTTGTTAGAAGGACTGTGAAATTATGTGACAATGAATGTTGATGTGTGTGACAATGAATAATAAATAAATGTGTGTGATGTGTGTGCTTGTGTATATTTCCATAGTGCTGCTTATGCTCCAAAGCTACACAGGGAAAGAATAAATTTGTTAGATATTTCTACCTCGAGTGTGCAAGTATTTCCTTGATATAGTCTGTTGGATGTGGAGACAAGCCTTACATCAATCAAATCATGGGCATGAGAGATTAGTATAGTGTCTACTCAGCCTCCAGGTCTGTGCTTGCTGGGCACCTGCTTACATGTTCAGGATTGTGCTGGATGTCACGGCGAACAGAGGCAAGGTGTCACTTAGTTACTGATCTCAAAGAACCATCACATCCAGATGGGGAGATAAAAATGGAAAACACAGGAAAAAAACAGATTATGTAGAAAGGGAAAACAGGGCAAAACTAAGCACAATTCCATCACCAATCTCTAATACCTCATACAGTGCTTAGTTGTACAAAGGAGCTGCCTATACATATTTATTAAGTGAGTTATGTATGCTCATTGAGTGCTGTGGGCTTTATTTCTTTTTCTTTCCCAGCTTTTCCCAGACTGCCATCTGATCTAATAGGAAACCCTGTAGAGTCCAAAACAGATCTCTTTTCTACCAAGTAGGAAAGTTTCTACTGCTCTCAAGTGTACAAAGTTCCCCATCAGAACTGTGAGAGGTTATTGCCTGCTCTTCCCGCTTCTGATCTTCTGCATCCTACAGCCATCGACAGCAGCCAATGTGAACTCTTAGAACGTAAAATGGTAGGCTTCCTTGGTAGTCCAGTGGTTAAGATTCTGTGCTTCCAATGCAAGGGGCGTGGGTTCAATCCCTGCTCAAGGAACTAAGATCCCACATGCCACGTGCCACAGCCAAGAAAATATCACACACACACAAAACAAAGAATGTGAAATGATCACAGCAGTCCTTGAGCTTTAAGGGGCAAGGAAGAGGAAGAACGGAGAGTTGGCCAAGTTGCTCTTAGAATGAAACCCAAACTTCTTCAGGCCCAGCATGATCTAGCCCTGTCTTACCTCTACAGATTCACCTCGCAATCACCTTTCCTCAGCTCCACGTGCTCCTGCCATATTGGCCTTCTCTTTGCTCCTTGAATATCCCAAACATTCCCACGATAGAGACTTAGCCCCTGCTGATCCTAACTTCTGGCCACCTTGCCAAGATCTCTGTGTGGCTGATTCTTTGGGATTTCAACATCTTCAGACCAGCCAGTTTAGAGTGGTTAATCCTACTCCCAAGCTCTCTCTCTCACACACAACACACACACACAGACACATGCATGTATCTTCAGAGCACGCTCTGAAACTGCCTTGGCCACTGCTTGTTTGCCTTGCCACTTTGCCCCTCTTCACCTGCAGGACACAAGAGAGAAGTGACCTTTATGTCTTTGCCCAACATCACATTCCCAGCACCCAGCACAGGCAGGCCCTCAGTAACTGGTCTTGAACGAGTGTATAAAAGGGTATGGGATATATATATTTTTCCAGTAATAAGTGATCCATTGTTTTCATCCGGGAGAGCATTCTGCAGGAGGTAGAGCTTACACTGGGATTAGAAAAATGAGAACATTTGGATAAATGCAGCAGACTTTGAAGGACATTTAGGGGTCAGTAGTCAGGCAAACGAAGGCTTAGAAGTGGAAAATCATGGCCTCAAGAGTAAAGGAAGAATTATACACAAATAGAGGAACATAAGCTCTGGAGAGATTGTCTTAAATCCAATTTTTAGGGGAGGGGTAGCCAGCTACTGAAGGACCTGGAGATTTCTGCATGACTAGACTCAGCTGGAAAGTGGGATCATGGAAGCTTTTGAGGAAGAAGGTAGCATCAGAAAAGGTGCGAAGGACAAGGAAGACCCCAGCATTTTCAGCCTGATGCTTTGAGATATGGCAGTTCCACTAAACAAGACAGGCAGATGCGGAGAGAAGAGAGAAGCAAAGACAAGAACGTACGTTCAGGTGTGTTCCGCATGAGTTCACTTTGAAACATTCAAACAGAAATGTCTAATAAGTGGTTAGTGAGAGGTTCTATAATTTAGACTGCCTTATAAACTTGCTGCTGCTAAGTCGCTTCAGTTGTGTCTAACTCTGTGCGACCCCATAGACGGCAGCCCACCAAGCTCCACCATCCCTGGGATTCTCCAGACAAGAACACTGGAGTGGGCTGCCATTTCCTTCTGCAAGTATGTATAAACTTACATATGACAAATCCTGTCCAATGTCTTCTGGAATAACTCTCTCAAATCAAAGCTACTTATTGAAAGGAAAAAAAGAGTAAGAAATAACTGGAAAGGCATATTCTAATGAACAGCTGTTTGGGAGACAGAAAATGCCAATGAAATTATGAGACTTAAAAATGTGTTGTTCAGTTGCTCAGATGTGTCTGACTCTTTGCGACCCCACAGACTGCAGCATGCCAGGCTTCCCTGCACTTCACCATCTCCTGGAGTTTGCTCACACTCAGGTTCATTGAGTTGGTGATGCCTTCCAACCATCTTGTCCACTGTCATCCCCTTCTCCTCCTGCCTTCTCTCTTTCCCAGCATCAGGGTCTTTTCAAATGAATCAGTTCTTTGCATCAGGTGGCAGAAGTATTGAGCTTCAGCTTCAGCATCAGTCTTTCCAATGAATATTCAAGACTTATTTCCTTTAGGATTGACTGGTTGGACCTCCTTGCAGTCCAAGGGACTCTCAAGAGTCTTCTCCAACACCACAGTTCAAAAGCATCAATTCTTCGGAGCTCAGCCTTCTTTATGGCCCATACATGACTACTGGAAAAACCACTGCTTTGACTAGACAGATTTTTGTCAGCAAAGTAATGTCTCTGCTTTTTAATACCCTGTCTAAGTTTGTCACAGCTTTTCTTCTAAGAAGCAAGCATCTTTTAATTCCATGGCTGAAGTCACCATCTGACTTTGATCACCATCTTTGAACACCATGTGATATTGTAGCCCAAGAAAATAAAGTCTGTCACTGTTTCCATTGTTTCCCCATCTATATGCCATGAAGAGATGGGACCGGATGCCATGATCTTTGTTTTTTGAATGCTGAGTTTTAACCCAGCTTTTCACTTTCCTCTTTCACCTTCATCAAGAGGCTCTTTTGTTCCTTTTCACTTTCTGCCATAAGGGTGGTGTCATCTGTATATCTGAGGTTATTGACATTTCTCTCGGCAATCTTGATTCGAGCTTATGATTTGTACAGTCTGGCATTTCATGTGATGCACTCTGCATATAAGTTAAATAAACAGGGTGACAATATACAGCCTTGACTCACTCCCTCCCCAGTTTTGAACCAGTCTGTTTTTCCATGTTCAGTTCTAACTGTTGCTTCTTTATCTGCATACAAGTTTCTCAGGAGGCAGGTAGGGTGGTCTGGTATTTCCATCTCTTTAAGAATTTTCCACAGTTTGAGGTGACCTACACAGTCAAAGGCTTTAGTGTAGTCAATGAAGCNAATAGGACCAATTCTACCGAAAAATTCCTGAAGCACATAACTACTGAGTCTGGTAGAACAGTAGCTCAGAGACCATCAGGGATTAGTTAGAACACTGACTCAGACGGTCCAGTATGCAGAGAGGGCAAACAAAAAAGCTGCATTTCCCTGTCAGATGAGTTCACGTAAGAAAACCAAGGAGGGCCTAAGAAAATACAGGCAATGGCTGCTCAAAATAATTAAGAAGGCATTCTAAATACCACATATGATTAGACAACAGTGTGTAAAGTGATGCAATTAGAAAACAGGCAACTTAAAAAAAATATGGTCACAGGTCTTTGAGAACTCAAGAAAACAATCAATAGCAAACACAAGAGCTGAAAGTCTTCTCAGCTGAGGGGTGAAAGTGAAAGTGAAAGTGAGGTCGCTCAGTCATATCTGACTCTTTGCGACCCCATGGACTGTAGACCACCAGGCTCCTCCGTCCATGGAGGATTCTCCAGGCAAGAATACTGGAGTGGGTTGCCATTTCCTTCTCCAACCACCTCTTCTTAATATCTTCTGCTTCTTTAGGTCCAGACCATTTCTGTCCTTTATTGTGCCCATCTTCGCATGAAATGTTACCTTGGTATTTCTAATTTTCCTGAAGAGATCTCTAATCTTTCCCATTCTATCGTTTTCCCCTATTTCTTTGACTGTTCACTTAGGAAGGCGTTCTTATCTCTCCTTGCTATTCTTTAGAACTCTGCATTCAGATGGATATATCTTTCCTTTTGCCTTTGTGAAAGGCAGTGGGAACTTAAAAAATATAATGCAACTAACAGCTCAGACCAGATTAAACAGAACCTTTGCTTTTGGGAGTAAAGTACCTTAGCTGATTGAAAATACACTTAAAAGCACTGACAAAATTTTAGTCATAAATAAATTTAGATAACTATTTGTCCATCTTAAAAATAAACACTTCTACAGTTCTATGACACACCTCCCACTTTGCTGAAATTAAATGCTATTGCATTCAAAGAAATACTTATCTAGAGGACAAGTTCATTCTCTTAGAGAAGCAATGATTCTGTTGAGTCTATTATTAAATGCTTTAAAAACTCTCTTCAGAGTTGAAATCCAAAATTTTATGATGGAATCTCAAGAAACCAATGCATGTGTTTATTATCTTTGGAACAAAATGGCTTCAGAGTTTCCTGTTAACTTGGGTAATTTATTAGCCTATAAAGATCCACAAAATTCTTGGCTACAACTGAAGTGTGATAAATGTCATGTTCCCCATAAACTGTTCTTACTGGTGTCATAAAATAACCCCTGTTCCTTTTCCACTCACCTTGATCTCTAATGACCACATGATTCTCACCTCTTGTATAGCCCATCTGGATTTCATACCAGTTGCTTATTACAGCTTATAAATACCAAGTGCACTAGCCTGGAACTCTCAATTCTGGAATTATTACAGAATCTGCTTTTTGACCAGGACCCTAGTCTTTGCCTGCCAAGGAATGATATGAACAAATAGTTGAAATTAAGAATGCTGGCTATAAGTTAATACTGGGTATTTATTTTGAGCCTTGCTGGTCTAGGAAAGTCATATAAATGATAGATGACTCAAGCTGTAGAAGACAGTATAGTGCAACGTTTATGTGCACTAGCCTTGGGGTTGGGCTGATCTGGGTTGTAATTCTTGCTCTGTAGCTTACTATCTGTCATCTTGGGCAAATGACTTAAGTACTTTTTTCTTCAGTATCATGATCTCTTTAAGTTGCAATTATAAGAATACTTACAGCAGTGGGCTGTGGTGAAGATTAAATAGAATGATGGAAGGAGAGCCCTTAATTTAGTTTCTGACCTACAGCAAATGCCAGTAAATCAGAGGTGGCTTCCAGGCTTTGTTGTTGCTGCTGCTGTTTATTCTGGGAATAAAGAGAAAGGCCCTTGTTCCCTTTTACCCTCTTCTGATGATTCCATCAGGCTTGGTTATGGACTGGGGTGAAAAACAGCATGATCTCTGTCCTGGAAAAAGCCCCAAAGAGTCCCTTCCCAGGAAAAGGGACATGGTCAGGTTCCATGAAATTCAAAGGGTATTATTTCATGACAAAGTTGTTGCAAAAACAGGAGCATGACAGAGTGCTTCTGAACTGCCAATTTTCTTCAGATTAATTCATTAAGAAACCATCACCCTGTTTCTGAGTGTCGGTGGGAAACAGCAGCTATTTATTTTACTCTCTGAAAATAGCTTCTAGCTCTCAGGATTCTTCATACCGACATCAACACTCCGTACTAAGCACCAGGTCCCACGTGCTCAGCACCACCCAACACAGATGTGGTACCTCCATCCTCACCTGGTGGGCCTGTTGTAAGAGCTCCATCCTCTCCTGGAGAATCTGACAGTCATACTCTCTGCTCTTCCTCAGCATCTGCCGCCGTAACTTCTCCACTGCTGTCCTCAGCTCCTCCTGCTGCTTTTCACTTAATAATTCACCAAATTTAATAACAGTTTCTTGCTGCAGAGCATTGTACAAAGTTGCTTCTAGTTCCTGGATTCTCTGGCAAATAGAATTAGAAAACTTTGGAGTTTAGTATCTTCCATGTGGTGTATAAACACACACATGTGTGTATATAGGGAGGGATGGATTATTTTACCCTCACAGGACCACAGCAACAAAATAAATGTCAAAGCTTATCTAGCTTAAATATCCTTTTGATTATTCCCTTTATAGGATGCCATAAGGGTCATCTAGCCAATATGGAAACTTCCCTGATGGAGGGGAATTTGTTCTTTTTCCTGGATCCCGTCTATTTCACATACTTTTCCTCTTCAGGAAGTCCTTACCTTGTTATAACTGTATATCCTTCTATTCTCAAAGGTAGCTGAGAATAAATTTGTTCTCTCTTTCATTTGACAGATATTTAAAGATATCTATTGTGGCAGTATATTATTTAGAAATAAGCACTGCAAAGTGGTCCGTGTTAGAATACTTGAAATTGGCGGCATTTCACACACACGTACACCATGCCCCCTCTCTCCACATGACACACCTCTGATGATGGCTTTAGAGTCTCCATTTTTTTTTCTTAAAAATTGGGAAATAGAGCCTAAGACCCTTTGGAATTGGTCTGTTTTTTAGTACTCTGAGATTTGTAGTTGCCGTAGCTGTATAATGCCTCCTGGAGGCTCTTCTTTTTTAGATGAAGAGTCTACTGCTTTGTACAGCCCAATTTTCGTTTCTTTCACAAGCTTCAGATACATTTACCACAATCTATAATCTTATCCCCAAGACTCTGACAGAGGTGAAAGGACATGGCCTCGAGAGGGATGTCCCCCAAGTTCCTGTCCTAGACTAAGTGGGTCGACTTACCTTTTAAAAGTTAAAGATAATGATCAGAATGAGTCTTCAGTCCTGGGACTGACACACATGGTCTAACGTCATCATGTGTAGGTAGAGGAGGTAAGGTTGAAAGGGTAGGAAGTGGGGGAGAAATCCCCTCCTTCTTTATTCTCTAAGCAGAGGGCAACTCTCCTTCCCCATCAGGCAGTGCTCAGAATCTCTTATTCAACTTGGAGGGGGAGTACCAATTCATCTTTGTTAATAGCAGGGGCTAAGTGCTTCACTCTTCCCAACAGCAATTCAGGATGCTTCCAGGAAAGCATTATAAAAACTTTTAAGTTTCCTCTTTCTGTCTTGAGTCAATACACTGTGTTACGGTGGGGGGCTAGGATGCCATAAGGGTCATCTAGCCAATATGGAAACTTCCCTGATGGAGGGGAATTTGTTCTTTTTCCTGGATCCTGTCTATTTCACATACTTTTCCTCTTCAGGAAGTCCTTACCTTGTTATAACTGTAATATCCTTCTATTCTCAAAGGTAGCTGAGAATAAATTTGTTCTCTCTTTCATTTGACAGATATTTAAAGATATCGATTGTGGCAGTATATTATTTAGAAATAAGCATTGCAAAGTGGTCCATGTTAGAATACTTGGAATTGGCGGTATTTCACACACACGTACACAATGCCCCCTCTCTCCACATGACACACCTCTGATGATGGCTTTAGAGTCTCCATTTTTTTCCTTAAAAATTGGGAAATAGAGCCTAAGACCCTTTGGAATTGGTCTGTTTTTTAATACTTTGAGATTTGTAGTTGCCGTAGCTGTATAATGCCTCCTGGAGGCTCTTCTTTTTTAGATGAAGAGTCTACTGCTTTGTACAGCCCAGTTTTCGTTTCTTTCACAAGCTTCAGATACATTTACCACAATCTATAATCTTATCCCCACGATTCTGACAGAGGTGAAAGGACATGGCCTGGAGTGGGATGTCCTCCAAGCTCCTGTCCTGGACTAAGTGGGTCGACTTACCTTTTAAAAGTTAAAGATAATGATCAGAATGAGTCTTCAGTCCTGGGACTCACACACATGGTCTAACGTTATCATGCATAGGTAGAAGAGGTAAGGTTGAAAGGGTAGGAAGGGGGGGAAAAATCCCCTCCTTCTTTATTCTCTAAGCAGAGGGCAACTCTCCTTCCCCATCAGGCAGTGCTCAGAATCTCTTACTCAACTTGGAGGGGGAGTACCAATTCATCTTTGTTAATAGCAGGGGCTAAGTGCTTCACTCTTTTCCCAACAGCAATTCAGGATGCTTCCAGGAAAGCATTATAAAAACTTTTAAGTTTCCTCTTTCTGTCTTGAGTCAATACACTGTTACGGTGGGGGGTGGGTCGGGGGGGCTCATGCGGGGCAGGGTGGTGCCCACCCAGAGAGAAGAAATCCAAGCTGCAATCCAACATTTAGAAGGATGCTTAATGAATTTGGTGCAGGGGAGTGGATCAAATATGATCCTGAGTCAGCATAATCTGGAGGAGAGAGAAAGGTACAGCCCATTTCCCCCATATAGTCTCACTCACTGTGACTGGATTACAGTAGATATAGCCACAATGTCTGGAGTCAAACCTAAGCATTACCTACTCACTTAGCAAGCTGGGCCAAGGTCTTCCTCTCTCTAAGCCTTCATTTTCTCATATGTAATATAGAAATAATAATATTCCCTATACCTCATACGGTTGTTGTAAGAAATAAATGAATTGAAAATACATATCATGTTACATACATCATTATTCTACCCCGAAATTAGGATCCCCAACAATCAGATTTGATTTAATAAAATTTCTCTGTAATCAACATTGTCATCCAATCTGTCTTTCATTTAAATATTATTTAACAACATAATTAAACTGTTTGAAAAATGAATTACAGTGAAATATTTATTAACTATTATAATAGTATTATAACAGCAAAGAGCTAGAGATGTACATTTGTTCTAAAATGAGAACTGGAAACCACTGGATAAGCGAGCTGCATGTTGTGGTCTATTCGCACACATGACATGACAAATTACACAGGATGCTTTACTACAGAGCATTTAACCATCAACACTCAGAGTGTCTTGAATGTCTCTTGTACCTACCATATATGCTTGGTCGAGGGCTTGTTTCCTGTAGTCTAGCTCTTCCTCCAGATAGCCTTTGATTTTGCAGAATTGTTCCTAGAAAAAATGGCCATGTTAATAGATAGAGTCAGCTTGGTTAACAAGAAAGTGATATCTAAATTGTATTGATTAATGTTTTCTCTAATTCCACTGTAAGACAAATTACTAGTCTTTGTAGGGTCAGAGATCTTGTCTTTTAGGGAAATAGTTCAACTTTTAGAAGTTCACACAGGGAATGTAAAAATCAGTGGAAAGAGGCATAAAACGACAACATGGAATGTCTTAAAGAATTTTCGAATCAACTTAAGAGTATGCCACTGAGGATAGATTTTTTTGTTTGTTATGGCTTCACTGCATGACATGTAGGATCTTGCTTCCCTGACCAGGGATTGAACAGGAGACCCCTGCAGTGGAAGTCGAGTCTTAACCAACAGACTGACAGGGAAGTCCCTAGGGACAGATTTTTGACAAGATAAATGCTATAGATGCTAACTAATAAGCATATCTGTGTAAATATACTACAATAGCATATTTTTATAAGAATGTTATGAAATGTAATAGAGCAGAGTTGTATAATAAGAAACTTAATTTATTCAAACTCAACTGTGTATCATTAGCAAACGCAAAGCTAGATAGTAATTCAGAGAGTGGGAGCGAGTCCACCCACGCTGCTACTTAATGAGTGAGTGTCTGCTCTTGCTATAAAGCCAGGGTGATCCAGGAGATGTAAATCTGATGCTACCTTGCTTGTCCTCAGTCTCTGTGTGGTTCTCACATTGCAAGCATCCTGCCATTTGCATTAAAAAATATATCTTTGTACAGAATACAGCCCTAAGCAAAAGTTAATTCTTTCTTTGTATGCTTAACCAGGAACAAGGATCTCTTCCAATGCTGAAGGTAAACTTGATTGCACCGACTTTTTTTTTCCTGTTTTTATTTTTTATTTTTGGCTGTGCTGGGTCTTCGTTGCTGGGTCACCTGGACTTTCTCTAGTTGCGGTGAGCGCGAGCTACTCTTCGTTGTGGTACACGGGCTTCTCGTTGAGGTGGCTTCCCTTGTTGTGGAGCACAGGCTCTAGGGCACACGGGCTTCAGCAGCTGCGGCTCTTGGACTCCAGAGCACAGGCTCAGTAGTTGCGGCGCATGGGCTTACTGGCTCAGCAGTATGTGCAGTGTTCCTGGACCAGGGATCAAGCCTGTGTCCTCTGCGTTGGCAGGGACTCTTATCCACTGTGCCACCACGGAAGTCCTGCACTGATTTTGAGAGAGGCTATGTCTGTATGCAATTTTGCTGTTGACTTCCAGCTGATTATATCTGAGCTCCAGTGCCTAGAACAGTGCTTGTAACAATCTGATTGCCTAATTAAAATTTTTGTATTTAAAGTGTTCAAGGGTATTTTGAATATAGACAGTCCTTATTAAATCTTTTGACTTTAGAGCCTAACCTGTTGGTAAAATATAAGTTCTGTGTAAAATATAAGCAAATTTTACAAATTTGTAAGCTGTCACATGCTATAGAAATTCAAGTTGTTTTTATTACAAGATTCTCTGACCTAACAGGAATCACTACCTAGTTTTTAGTAATAGTGACAACAGTAATGACAGTACTATTATCAAATTCTATGCATTGCTCTATGTTAATAAGGACCAATTCTCAGGCTGGGGGATTTAAACAAAAGTTAACTGTGGCAAAATACATATAATATAAACTTTATAATCGTAACCATTCTAAGTGTATAGTTCACTAGTATGAAGTATATTCACAAGGTTATGAGACCAATCTCCAGGATTCTTTTTATCTGCAAAATTGAAACTCTGTACCTATTAAACAACAAGTGCCCATTTCTTCCTCTTAGTTCCTGACAATCATTATTGTGTCTTCTGTTTCTATGAATCAGACTACTCCAGGTACCTTATGTAAGTAGAATCACACAGTATTTGTCTTTGTGTGATTGCCTTATTTCACTTAGCATATGTCCTCAAAGTTCAGTCATGCTGCAGCATGTAGGAGAATGTCCTTCCTTTTTAAAGGCTGAATAATATTCCAGGGATGTATATACCACATTTTGCTTATCCATTCATCCACTGATACAGAATCTTGGGTTGCTTCCATGTTTAAGTTATAGTGAATAATGCCGCTTTGAACACGGGTATACAAAAATCTCTTCAAGAGCCCACTTTCAAATATTATGGGTATATACCCAGAAGCAGTGTTGCTGTATCACATGGTGATTCCATTTTGAATTGTTTGAGCAATCACTAAGCATACTGCTTTTCATAGCAGCCGCACCATTTTACACTCCCAGCAATACTGCATAGCGTTCCAATTTCTCCACATTTTCATCATTGTATGTTACTATTTTGTTTTGTTTTGCTTTTAGTAGCAGCCATCTTAATGGGAGGCAGATGGCTTGGAGATTTTTAATATCAAAGTCATACCCATCATTTCTGTAATGTTTACTATAATTATATATGGTAGAAAAATTATTTAGCCTAAGGAAAAAAAAAATCAAACTGGATTTTCTTCAGCATTAGTCTTGGAAATACTACAAAATTACAATGTGACATTTTTAAAGAATACAACTTGAAATTGAGGGGTATTTCAATTTTTCTTTGTTTTTATGATACCTCATCTTTACTCACCATGTCACTTTCCAATTCCATCATTTTCTGGTGCAGGGCAGCCTCTGCTCCTTCAATCTGCTGGATCCACTATGGAGAAAGCAGACACAGGGTTTGACACGACTGCTTGATGTGGTCTAGATGGTACCTTCTTCTGAGCTGCTGTCAATTCTGCTATCTCAGAAAGCAGACGAAGAACTGAAGTTCTTGGTGCATTTTATCTCTTAGCTCAGAAACAGGTTTATAATTTTCCACTCATCCATTAATTCACTATTCACTCAACAAATGCCTTCATTGTTATCTACCATGTGTCAGGCAATGTGCTAGGTACCAGGGATGCGAGGGTGAATAAGAAACACATAATTTGCCCTCATTGGAGATTGCCATGAGAGGCTTTCTTGGAAATGACATTGCACTGAACTGTAAAAAATGAGTCAGAGATGACCAGGCAAAAGTGAGAGGCAAGTTCCAAGCTGAAGGTATGTCTAAATCTCCATGATTGGACGGAGCACAAAGAAAGAAAAAACAACAGGTGAGATGGAGAAAGGGCAATTTTTCAGTATATGAAACTGATTATAGCTACATGCTGAAGAATCACTCTGTTGAGTAGAGACATAATTTAAATCACACAGAGAATTTACTTTCTTAATACTTAAAATATGTTGTTCTGAGTATTAGATTATTAACATTAGATGGCATTAATATTAGCACTGATCAACACCCTGAATAAATTCAGATTTCGGATAATATAGTGTGAGCCTACCACATATATGGTTTCAGAGAATAAATTATTGTAATGGGTCTCTATGAAGTTAACCAACAGCTTATCCCCCAGGGAGGCAACTGGGCAAAATAATTAAGTGTATAGGTCCTAGAGGTCAACTTCACTGTTGTTCAGTCGCTAAGTCATGACAGACTCTTTGTAACCCCATGAACTACTGGGCCTCCCTGTCCTTCACCATCTCCCGGGAGTTTGCTCAAACTCATGTCCATTGAGTTGGTGATGCCATCTAACCATCTCATTCTCTGTCATCTCCTTCTCCTGACTTCAATCTTTCCCAGCTACCTTAGGTCTTATCCCAATCTTAGCTTTTCACAGCTGTGTGGGCCTGAAACATTACCTGGTTACTCTTAAGTCTCAACTTTCTTATCTGTGAAATGGGATTAATGATAATGTGAAGAGTAAAGAAGGTAATTAACCTAAGGCCCTATTCACAGTGTATTGCATCTACTAGGTACTCAACAGGATTTTAGTTTTTTTGGTTAACATTCATTGTTGTACTTCCGCACTGTTAGAAATTTGCCTCACTACTAGCTATTTTTTCTTGGTTTGTGATAAATTATGCAATGTACTGAACATTTTTCTATATATTAAAGCCTTGATTTTTGCAAGGGGCTGTCACATCTAACAGCTGCTTGGCTGTAAGGAACATGGGGAAACACAAAAAGACATGATGCTAGTCATGGAGAGATGCTAGTCTCTCAGCTCTTGAACATACACAGAACTTCCCTCATGAAACAAATTTCAGTCCAAAGTCATGGGTTTCTTGTGCACAGCCTCATATTGCAATTGTGTACCACCCAGTTTTATTAAAATGCTTTCTCCGGCTTGCTGTCCACTTACCATTGAGAAACAAATTCTCTTGTACATCATGTTTTTAAGAGAACTGTCAAATGAAGTAGTCTCTGCCTTTCGTATAAACTGTCCCAAGTTTTCTTTGTAGTCCTAAACTAAAGTGACTTTTCTTGCAATAAGGAAAAGCCCTTTATGACCCCACTGGCTGAGATGCTCTGGCTATCACTGCCAAATAAATATAGCAGAACTGGTGGTAAGACTGTGTTTTCTCTATTATTGTATCACTGGAAGAGTGTCTTCATGAATTCACTCATTCAGTAAATGCTGATTGATCTCTTACTAAATATCTGGGTTGGAAAACTAGGAAAACAAAGAGTAAAAAACAGAATCCAGAGTTGCCCTCATGGAACTCATAATCTAGTGAACAACAGCATAAATTAAAAAAAAAAAAAAGTGTTTGTGTTATAGCTGTCAGAGAAAGAGGACCTAATTAGACTTGGGTGAGTAGGAAGGCTTCCCCATGTATGGGAGGGTCTGATGATTAATATTTAGCCAGACAAAGGTAAAAAAGGGAAGAAGGGAAAATCTTGACTAAAGCAATGGTGTAAAGAACCAAGGGGTAGAAACATGTATAGGCAGACAGAAAGAGAAGAACAAATCCCAGATATTTCCCATTAAATACTTCAGGATGTATCCCTAACACTTCAGGTCTTAAAAAAGAACACAACCACAAGGCCATTTCCACACTGCAAACTTAACATTAATTCCTTCCATCATCTGATACCTGGTCCATATTGAAACTTCCCTAGTTGTCAGCAAAACGTTGCTTTTTTCACACTTGGTTTGCTTGAATCAAGATGTAAAGAAGGATCATTTCAATATTTCTTAAGTACCTTTTCATGTTATAGAAATCTTTCTACCTCTGCCATTTTTTTCTTGATGTCATTATTTTGTTTGAGTAACTAAAGTAGATTGGAGCAAGGTGAATGCTTGCTCATGGTTTCATTTACTTTACAACATGCTTTTTATTAATTTTATGAAAAAAAAAAAATCTCAAGGAACTTATACTACAGTTCTCACTTCATCCAACTGTGTGCACCAGTTAACTATGTGCCGATTTTCAAGGCGCCCAGAATACAGCCAGTTACCAGGCTTCTTCACTTGGGTCTTTCCTTTTTTCTCTCCCTTGCATTTACCAGATTTAAACACAAGGGGGCGAGAGAATGCTCAGCGTTGCCCTTCTGACAGTCCTCAAGTTAGGCTTTCTGAATGAGTCTGCAGGGAGCCACCACCAAGTTACAAAATCAGTTGGAACACATCCAAGGAAAAACCCGTAGAAAGAGCCATGCCGCTCCAACTTTCCACCTCTTAATGGAAACGTCTTCCTTATTGGTTTCCCAGGTTTTAAAACAGTGACTTCAGTAATGTAATCCAGATTTTGCATGTTTACAAAAGTATATTTTTAAGAGGCTTCAAAGTACCCACCCCAAATCAGGGTGTAGACTCTTATTTTGTATATCCTCATTCTAGCTGGGTTAAGAATAAAACATTTATTAGGTATTCAATAACGCAAAATCAGGTGCGAAGAGAATGTCCTTCAACCCCAGGTGTTAAGTCAGACACTGAGATGATTTGAGTGTTAGTACAATTTATTACCTTTTCTGCCAGGGACAGCACAGTGCTGGCCTGAATTATAGCCACTTGCTCTTCATTTCTTAAATTCTGTGCGGGGTGAGGGGGAGAGAAAGAAAATAAGCTGAAGACACTTTGGACATTTACACTGTTAGAAAATACGACCTAACTTGCCTGCCACATATACATGCATGGAACATTTACAGTCTATCCTATTTAGTAATAATTCTGAGAAAGAGTTCATTCAAAACCTGTAGAAAGCACATTAAATGTGATGCTTTTATATCTCTCTAGTTCTGACTTGATTTCACTGTAAACATACTTCATTAACAGTCATAAGAAAAGCAGAAACCAAAATGAAATAAAAAGTAATCTCTTCATAGCAGTTTGATACAATTTAATTGATTTTGTTCTCTGCTTTGATAATTTTTCAAGGGAAAAAATAGCATGACTACTTCAACCTACATGCATCATTCACCGAGTATCTCAATGAATGGTCCTCCCACTGAATTAATATGCCTTGACCCTGTCAGGAAGGTGTTTTAGAAAGAAAAAGGATTATAGTTTCCTGGTTCATTTTTATGGGGCTGCCACCAACCCTACTATTTTGCAGTATTTGCAACTGCATGACTGATTAATTTTATGCCGGATGCCTCCCAGCAACAGTTAGAAGGTAATTAGCTTTAATCACCGCTGATGTGGTCGGCATGCAAACCTGAAACGTGCCCAAGAAAAGCACCTTCCGTGTTCCCACTTCTGCCACTACCTTGCAGAGACCCTTATAATCCTTAAACCGAGTGGTCTGATAAATTGTTGATTCTCTTCCGGAATTTGTAAGCTTAAGTGAACCTGGAGTCTCACTTGTCATTATTTTTAAAGTTTTTTTCAATTTAGGTATGTACATAAGTATGTATGTATTTCAAGTCTAGTGGATTTACAATGTTGTGTTAGTTTCAGGTGCATAGCACAGTGACTTAGTTATACACATATATATTCTTTCAGATTCTCTTCCCTTTTAGGTTACTACAAATACTGAATAGAGTTCCCTTCACCTGATCTTATTTTACACATGTTGCATTGGCAAGTATTTCTTGCTTCTCTTTAGACAAATTCATATTTATACTGCACTTTATTCATTACTTACCCCATTATCACCTAAGATATCAAGCTGCTTTATGAGATCAGGGATATTCACATCCTGCAAAAAAATCAAGGAGTTGCATTCAAGTCAAAGGTGCAAGATTGGCTTAACCATTCTATCAGTGCCCTAACCTCAAATGAGAGAGGACATTTTAAGACCTGTACCTTCTTGAGCTGTTTTCAATCAATCACAACTGGTTTTACATTTCCACTCTGCTTTTTATGAGTTGTGTGAACCTGGCAAAACTCCTTAACAATGCATTTTCAATTCCGCCAATTGCAAAATGGAGGTAATAAACACCGCTTTCACAGGCTGATTTGAGGATAAAGAGATAGTATATAAAAGGTCTAGGATGTATAAGAACTCAAAATTTTCTCAGTAGATTTTTTTCTCATGATTATTGAAAATTAGTTCCGACTGTGGTAGATTTCAAGTATAAAGAAAAGTAACAGTAATAAATTTAAATAACCAGCCAATTTCACTCTAATTAATGGGATCTGACCTGGTTGAGATTTTGACAGCTGCATAGAAAACTACAGTGCACTTTCATTTTTGGGGTATTTAGTATTAATTCCACTTATGGAAAACAGCTTATTTTTATTATATCGCCCTACCCCCATCAGTTTGAAGCAACTGCGCCATTTAAAGTGCTGTTGGGTATAAATTAAATACATTGGATTAGGTTCTCTGTGATTTATTTAAAAACAAAACATCTGAGGAAAGGACAAGGTAAGGTGCTTCTCATTTACAGCTGAATCAAAAAATTGCTTTGGTTTACAAATTTTCATGCAGCCCAGGAAGGCCAGAAGTTTAAACAACATGAGAATGGTTTACAATGGAAGTCAAGGAAGCACAATTTTCTACCCGATTTCCCCATTAGTACCACTTTCTCCTCTTATTTATGTTCAGATAACAGTGTGTGTGTGTGTGTGTGTGTGTGTGTGCGTGCGCGCTAAGTTGCTTCAGTCGTGTCCGCATCTGTGCGACCCTATAGACCGAAGGCTACCAGGCTGCTCTGTCCACGGGATTTTCCAGGCAAGAGTACTGGAGTGGGTTGCCATGTCCTCCTCCAGGGGATCTTCCCAACCTAGAGATCAAATCCAAGTCTCTTTAAGTCTCCTGCATTGGCAGGCGGGTTCTTTACTACTAGTACTGCCTGGGAAGCCCACAGAAAACAGTATAGCAGATCCCTATCACCAGAAATACAAAGTCTAGCTCAGTCTCAGAGGTAAAGAGAAGGCAACTAAAGCAGGTATATTTGGCAGTCAGAGTGGGAGCGGGAGGGGCCGTGCAGAAGGCCCGGGCAGGAGGATTCCGAGCCTCACATCTGGAACAGACAGTTGCTATGCGATTTTGTCACATGCAAGGACAATATATTTTCCAAGAGATGGAGCCACTTCCACTAGACCTTAACATTTAAAATGTATTCCAATATCACTAAAAATAAAATTATATACCATGTCTAAGTGAACAACATGTTATAATCCCTAAAGCCTCCTGAAAGGGAGTGTGTCAGCTGCTCAGTCGTGTCTGGCTCTTTGCGACCCCCGTGGGTTGTAGCCCGCCAGGCTCCTCTGTCAGTGGGATTTCCCAGGCAAGAATAGTGGAGAGGGTAGTCATTCCCTTCTCTGGGGGATCTTCCCACCCAGGGATCAAACCTGGGTCTCCTGCATTGCAGGCACATTCTTTCTCTCTGAGTCATCAGGGAAACCCAAAAGGGAAATCCTACCTAAAACACTCACAACAAGAGAGATGGTGGTGAGATGATTTCTAGATTTCTTCTAGTACTGAAATTCCAAGATGGTGAATTCCACAGTCATCAGATCAGCACAACAAATACCTTTTTATCTGCCATCCTTGAAATGTGTTTCTATAAGTAGTGAATTTATTTAATATTTCCTCTACATAATCAAGGGTAATTATCTTTACACATATTTTGATTCTGTATCACTCTCTTTTAAATAATCATTGCTTCCTATTTTTTTTTTTTTGCTGTTACCATTCATATATCTGTCACACATTTATTTGTGTACATCCTGTTAATTCTCCCATAGACGTGACTATTTTCAGCTCCTACATGGTTTGTATCAAAATGACACCCAGTGACTGAAAGACCAAACGGTGACCAGCAACCTCCCCTTTTCCAATTCCCAGCTCTTCTACTGTCTACAACACACACAAGGAAACATGTGCCTACCTTGACACCTTCTTTCATACAGTAGATCTGGAGAGCACTCACACCATCTGAGAATGGGTGAATTTGCAGATTAAATGGAGGGGATCGTCTCTCTCTTTCCTTGAAATACAGTGAAGAATATATAGGAATTGGAAAAAAAAAAGCAACAATTGATTAATCACTAAACCAGTTGTCTATGTTCTCTATGCTATTTCAGCAGTTAATCAATATGCCATTTGGCAAAAAAAAAAAAAAGGAAACTGAACTCAAGATGTTCAAGCTTGAATGTAATGGAAAAGAACTGATTAGTCAACTGAGAGTTGTGGAAGAAGAATTTATCACCGTGTCATCCAGGTTTGCAAATTTTTTGATTAGGGAAATTTGGGAAGTGGAGTTCCATTTTAAACTGTATGAATATTTAGAGCTTTCAGGTGTCACAAAGAATCTTCTTCTGACCATGAAGCTTTATGGCAGCTCAGGGCCTTTTGCATATTCAATTCACTCAAGCTTGATGAGTAAAATAAGTGGGCTACCAAAATGACTTACTTCTTCACTGAAGCATACCAACTGCAAACTCTATTCAAACCTAATGTTTGATATTATTCAAACCTAATGTGAAATATCTTCAAAAAGAAAATTGCTGGCAAAATAACAAATAAATCAAATGGGAAATTTTCTTATCCTTTACATATTTCAACCAGACCCTAAGCCAGATTCTGCATGATACAATCAGAATCTGATTTGATTATGTTTTACTTAAAAAATATAGACTCTGAAACTTAGGTTAACCAGAGTATTTCCTAAAACAAATTACCTTGCTTTTTAGCCTTTTGCATAATGCATTACAGAATAAAAAGTTTACTTACAAATTCAAGAGTCTAACAATAAAATACTTTTGTAATATAGTACATTTTGAAATATAATTTGAAATATATAAAAGAAATTTTTCTGAGTCAGAAATGGAGGATGGAAATGATTATGTAAAAGAAATGAAATATTTATGAAGTTTGAAATCTGCTTAGACTATTTAAAAATTATTCATTAGCCTTGTTCATAAAGGCGACCATGTTGTAAAGTACAGCATCTGAGCAGACAATTCTGAGTTGCTTCAATGCTTCACCACTGACTAGTCACACGAGTTGGACAAGTTATTTAACCTCAGTTGCCTCATCAATCAAATCTTGGTTGTGGCTATGAGGTCTAGTGAGTGTATGTCTCTGAAATGCTTAATTTAGCACCTCACACATAGAGTGGGATCAGTGTATGTTAATTGTTATGATTATTTTTATCATCATCATCATCATTTCCTTACTTCTAGTTCTAGGTTTCGAAACTCCAGCAGCTCATTCTGGTCTCTGGCATCCTGTAGTTCCTGTTGGAGCCGGTGATTTTCTGCCTCTTGTTTTTCTATCTAATAAAGTAAATCCTCAAGTTAGGTGGACATTGCATAAAAGCATCTACAACTTTGCAAAGCAAGCATGGACAGCATTCATTTACTCAGTGAATAAATCATCAAGATCATGAAGAAAAAATCCCAAGTACATGTGAATAAAATAAATCTTTGACTTTCCTTTTAGTTATCCTTTGGTTGAATTGTTTGGGTCATAGAGGAAAATGCTGGAGGATACTCCATTCATTGAGACCAGGTCTAGGGACCCTGTGAAAAATGAATTTGTCCCATGTGGTCAGGGACAGTGTCCAAGAACTAGATTATACGGTGCAAACAATGGAGACTGACACCTCTTATTTCTGGAGTTACAAGTTGCTGAAGAAATAATTTTTATAAAACAGCTCTGATCCTACACAAAACTTCGTTGAATTCTAGTTACCTTCAGAATAAAGTCAAAGTCTCAATATGGAAATAAAAAACTTTAATAATCTGCTCATCATATTTAGGTGTTATCACTGTCATGTCTACATACATACACACACTCACTCACATGCAACCACATGCACTTGGATCTAGAAACCCAGATCTACCCTATATTCTGAATATTCCAGGAGCTCTATCGGCTCATCTTGGTCTGAAAAGGGCTCTCCCTTTTCCTTTTCTATGTGAGGAAATCCTATATTTCCATGACATCTCCTACCATAAGAGGCTTCCCCTGGCTCCTCAATCCAAAATGACACCACTCCTTTCTGTTTTCCCATAGGGTTTTCCTGTAGGATGTCTAGTATAACCTGATGAAGTATGCCATTAAGTTTGTTGTGTACAAACCTGCCTTGCCCTGTATATATACTGTATATATACACAGAACCCATGTCCACAAGGCCTCAGAACATTTCCATGATCGGCAATCGGTTTGGCACTGCCTTCAGTATTAGCTGTGTCAGTGGGCCTTCTGTATAGTAACTGTTTAAAATCTTGAATTTAGAAATAAAAAAATCAAGGGCTTTTTAATCTAAAGTAAATCTTACTTTCTTTCCTCAAGTGTAAACAAAATCTTTCTTCAAGTGTAAACACTTGAAGTAGAATGTTTAGTTTTATTGTCGCTTTGGTTTTCTTTTACTCTTAGAAGGCTGAGCTCAAAAATTCCCTTTATAGACCAAAGGAAATCAGACAGAGACATAATGGGAGTTATTTTTTTAGATGATAAACAGTGTGATAACACTTATTACTGGGCATCTTGGAGACTACTAAAATTCTCTTTTCACTTAGCCTCTTGATATAGAAAAATAAATATAGGGGGAAGTGAGATACTATAAGACATTAATTTATGTAGTCAACCAAGTTTTTTACACTAGATTTTTGTGGTTTAGTAAATGTTCGAAAGTTTTTTTAAGTTGACTATTTCCTAGAATCTTGGATTGGGATCAGAGATGGGATATCTGGGGAGATTCCTGGATATGGTGCTTAGCACTAGCCATCATATTAATGGTTCACAGGTGGCTGCAATTAAAAAACCAGGGTCAGTGTCCATAAAGTTTCTTTATAGGGACCATTAACCTTCCTGAGAGTACCAGTCCTCAATCCTGGAACACCTACCCTGCTTCTATACATCAGCTCTGTCTCTCATCATGCAGAAAGTGAGACACGACCAGCGGGAAGGGAGACGACCATCTTCTTTCCCCTTCCATGCTTGCCAGGGTGTTGCAGTTAATTTTTATTACTTGTCAAGACCAGTGAACATCGGTAGAAGCAACCCTAAAATAATTTTTACATAACTCTGTGTCACCCTTCAGAATAACTTCCCTTACTCACATGCTCTTTCAAATTCTCTTTTTGCCAAGAATAATATAAGATTATTTTGTAATCATTTCACATAACCAAAGGCAAATATTAATACCAAAAGAAAAGTCATGCCTGAATGTAAAATGGTCTCTGTTGTATTTCACTGCCCCAAATAAAAAGCCTACGTTCAGCTAACCTAAATTAATTCTATCTATTGGGCCAAAACCATGCCTCTGTATCTTGATTTGTTGAACAACTTCTGGGACATGCTCTTTTGTGCTTTGGATGTATCTTTTGAAACGTTCTTTCATAAAATAAATACATAAATAAGCAGCCAATATTAGCAAAAAGTTAACAGTGAGAACCCAGTCAATGCTAGGTTGCAGCATGTCTTGGAGTCACTTCCTTGTACAAAATCATCAGTCCTATTCGTAAGTGTTCTTGTAGATGGACAACCACATAGGATGTGTGCACATATGGGTATATATATATGTACAGTAAATATACAGTATATATATATATATGCAACAAATCAATAGGTTTCAGGGATCACATCTTTCAATCGGCACAATGCCCAGCACAGAGCCATGCACACCATGGGCCACTCAACTGATGGTGATGGCGGTGACAGAGATGCGGTTGGGCGCGCAGCAGAGGGGAGCACAGCCGGGAAAGCCTCCCCGTCCCCTAGCCCCTGTGCCACTCCTGAGGGGACCCCCTGCTGCTCCTGGATCTCTCATCAGTCTCTCCTCTGCCCCATTAGGGTGTTGCGCCCCACATACCTTTTCTAAAAGCTCCTGGTTTCTCTTAATGAAAAGTTGTTTATCTTCTACCCAGTGTGAATCCTGTTTGACAAAGAATATCGCGCAGTCAGCATTTCAGAGTGGCACGAAAGAGCATGTGTCGTCAAACCACTTTGCCAGAGCTGTCTTCTCTCCACCCGGTTTGTTTGCCTGCCAGCGACTGGTAAATGTCACTCACCCCAGCCAGCTCCTCATCCTAAGATGTTGGGGCCAAAGTTGCCAGGAAAATTTAACCCCCTTTTCATTGTCGCTCGCTATCCCTATCTTTTTCAGTCTGAATAATCCAGGACCAGCCTTCTGGGGACTCAGAAGTGACCACACAGGCAAAAAGTGAAAGGGGTCAGAATGCACACAGGCTAGATACATATGGATGGAAAACATTAAAATGCAGAACCATCAATGTAGCATAGAGGCAAAGAATGCAGCTTGAGGGGTGGGTCTTGGTCTTAGCAGCTCATGATCACTCTAGGCTAAGTGTGCAGTGCTCCTGTTCCCTGGGCATTCTCTCTCTTGCCCAGCCTCATTCGCTCTTGTAGCTGGGTTCACGCTCTGGCCAGCAAAACACCAGGGACAGAAACAGACAGCTCAACATTCGGACACAGTTTGAGGAGATCACTGTGGACAGCCAAGCCGTGTCCTGAATGGGCACAGGGTGATCTAGTGGAAGGTCAGATTGAATCGTCTGCAGCTGCAGAAGTGAGAGCAACCAAATGCCTACCTGCCCTTTCTGAGCCAGAGTCGCTTCCAGATCTTCTATTTTGGCTTTATACCTTAGCACCTCGGCCTGGAGTTGTTCTTGAGCCTAGCGAAATCAAAATTTCAGAACTCAATAGGTAAAATGGTAGTTCTACAATTTTTCTTCCCATCATGTTCCCTGATTAGAACTCAACAAGTGAGAGAGAGGAAAAAATAATTTTCTACCATCGAAGAAACTTTTAAATCTACTTTTACATTCTAAACTCTCTGCATATAACTTTCAGTGGCTCCCTTTACCATCAGGTTAAAATTCACTGTTTAGTTTGGGATTCAATACTTCTATACTTAGTTTGGTCTTATACTTCCAGTCTTTCCCCGCCATTCATCAGGGCAGGGTCCACTCCTGACTGCCTGGTGATCTCCTTGTTTCCTAAATATAAATATGCCTTGTACCTCTCCATTTCTTTCTTTCTTTGAACAAGTGCCCTTCTGGAAAGTCTTCTCCCATTTGCCTCTCCAGAATATTTCCATTCTTTCAAAGCCAATTTTGTGCCTTATATGTAAGTCTAAATCCAATCTATGTAAGTATTTATTTATGTATCTATCACGTGCTTTCTCGTGTGTGTGTGTGCATGTGTGTGCGCGTGTGTGTGATGTGTGTGCACACGCATGCACACCAGCAGTTTGGGACACTGATTTGTACGGAATGACCTTATCTCATTTAGTCCAGTTGTTTTTAAGATTCTCTTCTATTCTCTCTCTATATGATCTTATTATCTGTTTTTATTTTCTGGCCATACACATATTTCTTTTTTCATTGTCTTATGATCCAGATGGGTTCTTTGGTACAAAGTTGAACAAAATCAGCGATGGTAAGTATTATTCTCTTATTGTCCACTGTGAGGAGAATATTTCTTTGAACTGTTAAATATTATATTTACCTTTATCAGGTTAAAAATTTCAAACTTAGCTTGCTGAGAATTATTTTAACTTTGAATGAATTATTTTAACTAATAATTTTGTTAACTTTAACCTATTTATTTCTTGTATTGAAATGACTGTCTTCTGTTTTCATTGATAATTTTTCATCTATATTAACTATTTTTGTATTTCTATTTTCTTTGAATTTATTATTCTTTTTCCCACATGTTGATTTGTTTTAGACTATTTTGCTCAGAATAGTAAGTTTTCTTACTTTAATGGCCATAAACAGTTCTAAACCTGTATTTTGATGGGAGAGTGAGACTAAAGAGAGAACTGGTTTCTACATCATCACCTCTCCAAAAAACAAGGCATAAGTTATTATTTTCATTGACCAGTCCTATGCTTATAAGAATGGGTAGTAAATACTGATAAAAGAAAGCACACACACATCCTTTCCTAATGATTGCTTATCTGTTTATTTCAGTTCACCATGGGTTTTTAAAAAAATGTTTGCTCTTTTAGGTATGTGTATGTGCATGTATGTATGTATGCATGCTACCATTTAAACATATATAGTTATAATATCTATACTTTCCCACTAACCAACTTAACATAGTTCCCACAGCACTCCTCACTACACTGTAGACCTTCTAATAAGGAAGTAAGATAAAATCACTGGATGGTCACATTCATTTTTGACCCATGTAAACTAACATATGAGGCAGTGATGGCATGGTGGTGATGACTGAACTTAGGAGGACTAGGTTCGTATCCTAGCTTTCCTATAAGCTACATATCTTGGCTTTAATACAACTAAGCTACATTTAACTTCTACTAAGCTACTATTTCCTCCCCTCTAGAAAGGAGTTAATAATAGCATCTAACTTATAGAATTGTTTTAGGATTACATAAGATAATGTGTATAAAATACTCAGAACAATGCTTGAAATACAGCAAGGACTCAGTAAATGTCAAGTTTAGTACTGTGTGTGGTTTTTTTAAAAAATAGACTTATGTGAGGCAGTTGCAAGATAATGGAAAAAAATAACTGACCTAGTAAAATATGACTTGGAATCAACAGTTTTCCATTTATTAGCTGTGTGATCTTGAGCAATTCAATTAACCTCTCTGAGCCTCAAATTCCTCTTTTATAAAATACCTACCTTAGAGGGCTGGCACAAGGGTTAAGTGAGATATTATCAGTGATAATTCTCAGTAAGCTGTCAATCTAATACTAGACACTTATGAACTAAGAAAAGGAACTGGTTAACCACTGCTTTTGAAAGATGAGTTGTTTTTTTTTTTCAAGCAAGAAACTAAAAAAAATAGGATTATCAAAATTCAACATTTTCTAACTTTGAAAGTGCAAGCTTTCAAATAGCATAAATGAGAACTAGGCACTCAACTGTCTTTAAAGGAACAAAAGCATTGATCTAAGCTGGTTCTAATGTCTCTAGATCCAACGTTTGTTGACTTAAAAGATAAAGCAGTTCAAAAGCTGCATTGGAGAGAAGGGTACAAGGAAAGCTATCCCACTGATACTTTTATGTCCGTGGTACTTTTATGCTGTGGCTGTTGCAAGCCCACTCGGGGCACTCTCGCAGATGTACACTAACCTTGGCTTCTCTTTCAGCATCAATGATGCCTCCAGTCTGCTCCTGCAGGAGGGCATATGCTCTTTGGAGAGCCTGGTATTCTTTTGTTAATTGCCGGAATCTTAGCTCAGATTCTTCAGCTGCCAAACTCTTGAGGTTAAAAAAAAAGCCAAAAAATAATTATGTTATGTTCACGTCCTGTGTCCATGTAAATTGTTTAAAGACAAATAAAAGTCTGCATGATTTTGGATTCTACATAATTTTATTCTTAATTTTAAAGGATGTTACAGGCACAAAGCACTATAACACTTTTAAGATGCAAACTGCAGAAATATTTAAGTATTTATTAATAAAAGAAGCATTTACTTATTTATATATTTCTGGTTATTGCCCATTTGGGATTGGATTACAGAAAATTTTGAATTCAAATGATAAAAACTTATACCCAGATTTTGGATGCAAATTTGAGGAGATGATAATCAGAATTTTAGTCCCAGTTCCTTTTAATATATTCATATCTAACAACTTCTTCCCCAGGTAAATTACAAAAACATAGTTTTACAGCTTCAGGCCTCAAACTTGGGAACATAACACAATCATCAGAGAGGTTTGGGGATTCCACTCTCAAGACCTGAGTCAGGATGTGTGGTCCAGGAGCTTCCACAGTAACTGAACACCCCAGATAGTTCCGATGAAGGCGGCCTATAGAGCACACTTTGCTAAACGCTGTCTTAGACTTGAATTTAAAAGTTTGTCTTCTTATGGTTGTTGGAGGGAAGGGAGAGGGAAAGGAATAGTTAGGGAGTTTGGGATGTTCATGTACACACTGCTCTATTTTAAATGAATAACCAACAAGGACCTACTATATAGCACATAGAACTCTGCCTGGATGAAAGAGGAGCTTAGGGGAGAACAGGTACATATTTATAAGGGTGAGTCTCTTTGCTGTCCACCTAAAACTGTTACAACAGTATTAATGAGCTATATCCCAATATAAAATAAAAAGTTTAAATAAAAAATAAATAAAAATAAATCAGAAAAAAAAGCTTATTCTAAGCTTGTCATTTAGTTCACACTTTCTCTGGATGAAGACTTTGGGAGAGTAATTATATATATCTTGAAAAAAATCTTCAAGCTACAGAGCTGAACTTCAGAGAAGTTTCTACAAGGACTACATGACATAGGTGAAGCTCTTTTCCAAGAGGTAACAAAGCCAGGCAAGATCTCAAAACTGGTCACTGTTATGAGATTATGTGCTTTTCATAAAGGAGATAAAAAGTGAAATGCTTTTTCTCTCCCTTCAAGGAAAGCTGTGACAATATCAGAAAAGATGAGAAAAGTGAAAAAGCCTACCTCATCCAAGTCATCATCAGGAGTAGCTGGTGTTCGGTCTGTTCTAAATGAGGCCATGGATGATGTTTCTGAATCCATGGAGTCCTCATCATAGCCAATAAATGGGTCCAAAACAGGCCTCTAATGGAGGGACAGTACACATTTATCAAAAAAACTAAGCGGGGAGAGTCAGCATATTATCAACACACTGTCAACGGCAGACATGCAAATGAACAGAGAACACGTAGCTCCTATAATGTTTCTTTGATAAAATAAACATATTAGGCATGAACACAATGATTCCAATAAATGTTTCTTCTATGTTATTTCACTTCTGATATTTTGGAGGAAGATTCATTAATATTTGGCTCTGTTCATAAAACCCCTGGATCCTCTCTTATGTTACATTTTATATCACGCTGATTTTATATGATTTATTCTGTTGGGTATTTAAGCTATAATCAAGAAATTCTGAAAGTTCAGGTAACTATGGGAAGGGGATTATCAAATCCTATCATCTAATTCCACATTCAAATCAAAAGGGGCAATTGTTTTTTGTGTTTTTAAGTATTATAAACATTTTCCCATCTTTATTATTCAATGGCATCATTTTAAGTGGCTTTCTAATTTTTACTTAATTACTATTTTTTCTTTTTTAAAGTATAAATAATGTGATTAATATCTACTACATATATTTTGCAAAGTCTATAATTAATTTTTTTAGAAGACTTTATGATTAAGAAAATAAACATGTATTTGGGCTTTGGATACATCTCATCATTCTATCTTTCTAGAAAGCAGGAAACATTTGTACATTTCACTAGTAGTAGATTCAAGCCCCCCATTTTTTTGTACCTCAATGTGTGTTATCAAATGAGGCAACTGTTAAAAAGATAAAACAAATTGACAAATAGCAAAACTCTGTGGATTATAAGAGGCTATACAGATACGAGAACTGGCATTATCAATAATATTGCCCAAGTGAATAATGAAAATATAATTTAATCAATTATAGGATGGGTATTGGATGCTAATGTTATTCATGGGAGACATCAAATCATATGTATCTCTTGCATGTTCTTGAAGCATGACTCTCCAGCTTGTCAGATAACCCTTTCTACGTCAAATCTAGTGGGTTCTTCACTCAGAAAACCTGTATTAAAGAAAACACTTTCAGCTTAAAATCCACAGCACAATTATGTTTTCAACAACACAATCATTTTTGGACTTCTAAGAACTGTCGAGAGGAAAGATTTTCTTCTGGCAAATAAATCCCATGCTCTGCCACAGTTCAGGAACACCTGATTTATCATGTCTTTGCAGGAAGATGCCTCGGCAAACTTCACTACTCTGGCTGTGCTTGTGTATGGCAAAAGCCTGATAACCTAGTTTCCTCATTACCTTGATTGGTTTGGAACTTCTTCTATGCTTTCTTCTACGAATGAGCTTTTCCCGGTCCTGGAAAACAGATGAAAGGCTTTTCAGCTCTTGAGTTGGTACATATTTTCCTATAGGTTTTTTGTTTGTTTGTTTTGAAAGACAGAGTTGTTTTTTTCCCTGAGGCATGACATATTTCTATTTAAAATAAGATTATGCTTTGTAAAATTTGGCAACTTTGGATTTGATACCTAGGTATTTTCAAAGGAAGAATATTTTACAACTTTTCATGATAATCTGTGTGGATCTGAGAGCCTCACAGTCAGGAAGTACACTGTGCTCCTAATTGTCATCCTTTGTTTTATACCTGAAATGAAGCACAAAAGAGCTATTCATTGTTCTCCTAAAGTAGGATTCTTCAGTTTCCCCAGATCCCTCCAGGCCAGAGTACTCCCTCCAGGAGTGGGAAGCCTTGCCTTCCTCCAAGTGATCTTCCCAACCCAGGGATTGAACCCACGTCTCCCACATTGCAGGTGGATTCTTTACCAGTCGAGCCACAAGTGAAGCCCAAGAATACTGAGTGGTTAGCCTATCCCTTCTCCAGTGGATCTTCCCAACCCAGGAATCAAACGGAGTCTCCTGCATTGCAGGTGGATTCTTTACCAACTGAGCTATCAGGGAAGCCCAGATATGACTGATTTCTTAATTCATTCTTTTTGTGAAAGGCGATTTCACAAAAAAATTTGGTGTCCACCTGCTAAGTATTTAATATGGTTATTGTACAAATTCAAAAGTAGAAGAAATAAGTAACACTTATGTCTGTCTGAAAGTCTGGTAGAAATGCCTCAACATCTCAAAATTCTGTAAGAAACTTAGCTTAAACTGAGGATACTCAAAGTCAAGCAAATTCTTAGACTAGTGAATCTGTGAGATTTATGAGTTATTAAGAATGTGGAACTGAAGTTAGGAGCATAGAGATTTGAAGGGCATGTTTAACAAATAACCTAGATTAAGCCAGTAGTATTAACCCCCCCACCTTTATAAACAAAAATAACTTGATCATCCAATCTCAATATATTTAAAACTTTAAAAATTTATACCTAGATGACTCTTCTAATGTGGCATATGCACTATAACAAACACTCAATATAGAAAATTTTAAAAGGGTAAACCATAAATAATTAAAAGCTGAATTTATAATCCTTTTTTTCCTCAATAGCAGTAAATCATGTTGTTCACCCTACTCTGGAGACTACTGTCTGAAGTTTTCCCATCACTAGTTCACCTCTGTAAGCCTTGGCTTGGTTGTGAAGTTAGAGTGATCACACATGTCACTTGCAGAATAAACACAGAGAGGCAAAGAGGAAAACCCAAATGCAGATACAGGTCTCAGTCCAAAGCTGCTGGTAACACAGACTTCCCTTGTGGCTCAGCTGGTAAAGAATCCGCCTGCAATGCAGCAGACCTGGGTTCAATCCCTAGGTTGGGAAGATCCCCTGGAGAAGGGAAAGGCTACCCACTTCACTATTCTAGCCTGGAGAATTCCACGGACTGTACAGTCCATGGGGTCTCAAAGAGTTGGACATGACTGAGTGACTTTCACATAACATAGGTCTCAGCCAGATGCAGATGGGAGTAACAACTGCCTGACCTACTTCAGCAGGTATTGGAGTCCTCAGAACATCTGGACTGGAATTTCAGCTGTCATGTCATTGTGACATTGCTGTTCATTTGACAAATATTTATTAAACTACCAGACACTGAATCAGGTGTTGGGAAATAAGAGGCCTATAGTCCTGTTATTGTAAAATATTTAATCTCTGAGCCTCAGATCTTGATACTAGAAGGTAATTATAAGATACAGCACACCATCAATCTACTCATATATAATACATTTGGGAATTCTTCTAATGTGCTCTATAGCTATTATTTGAGTTACCAAATTAGTTAACAAAGGATTATAACTGAAAAGATATAAAACAGTTAAAGGATATAAAGGAGTTATGGAATAGTCTCTTGAACCTATTTACATATTAATCACATGAACTTGGACCTTTGCAGCTAATCCAAAATTATTAAGTGTTTCTAGCGTATGTTGATTTCTTGCCTACTTGTCCTTGAGGACGGCTTAGAGTTTACAGATTAATCAAGACCTACCCTTGTGAGCTCATCAATAATGTTCTGTTGCTCAATGACCTGAAGTTTTAGAAACTCTGTCTCTTGTTCTTCATTAGCTTGATCGAGGTCATTTAGAGATTTTAATTTCTTCAAGGGTGGATGGGATGTGATTTTTTCTCTCTGGGTTAAAGAAAAAAAAAAAAGAAAGTATAGGTGGAGACTTTAAAAATCCCAAACTTCAGTGGCTAATATAAAATGTCTGCAGAAATTTTATGAGGTTCCAGCTAAATGTGAAAACTGTTTAGCTTCAATACGTAGACACACACACCGACTAACACCCTCACATCTATTTTGTCTGCTATAATAGGTGGAAATCATTGGGAATGTCTGAAGATCTCTACAACTGGACTAGAAGTCTGTGAAAGAGTACATTAGTACATCACCTCTCTATATAAAGCAAATGATGGCATCTATTTCCAGTTATTATGCAAGATCTTAGAAGATGCGGGTATACGTACTATACTGTTCTATAAAGAACACATTAGTAAAACTCTTGGAAGGGGGCCTCTTTTTAAAACATTTTATTTTTAAAAAGTTTTAGTGAATTATATTTGATTTACAACATGTTAATTTCTTCGGTAGAGCAAAGTAACTCAGTCATACATATGTATACATATGTATTCTTTTTTAATACTCTTTTCCATTCTGGTTTATCACAGGATAATTGTGATATCATAGGATATTGAATACAGTTCCCTGTGCTGTAGTAGGGCCTTGCTGTTCATCCTGGAAGCAGGCTTCTATGGCTGAGGAGACAGGCTGGAACTCTGCTTCTTTATTTTGGAGCTTTTGGAGAGTGTGCAGATTTCTGGATGTGTTCCTATTGTTCTGCAAAATTTAGAAACTCCATAAAATTCAGAGCCAGCAGCCTTCTTTTGATTTCTTCCTTATGGGTTCTTCCTTGCTTACATAAGGGGAAAAATCTAAATTTTCACAAATAGCACTGTATAATATTTTAAAAATAAACTGGGAAAGACCAGAAGTCAGGTTAGTGGCATAATAAAAACAAGTAAGCTGCACTTTTGAAGAGTCTGTGATACATACCATTTCTGAATTTTCCTTCGTAACGGCTTTTAGTTTATCTTCCATGCGCTGCAAAGACACCATCAGTTCATCATTTCTCTTGGCGAGGCACTTGTTCCTTTCCAGAAGAGGTTTACATTGTTTCTCAGCTTCCCGCACACGCTTTAACTGCGAAGACATAAAACAATGTGTCCCTTCTGTTTAGAGTCTGAAAATAACTGCATTATAGCAACAGCCACCAAAAAAAGTGTAAAATATATGGCAGGATATTTTAAACATAAACATTAAAAATTATGTAAAAAATTCCTACTACTAATAAGCAAATGAAAGTAGCACAAAAGAAAATAGGCAAAAGACAAAGGTAAATCACACAGGATATCAAAAAGGCCACTAGATACTTGGAAAGTTACTCTGCCTCATTAGTAAGAAGGAAAATAAAAATGAAAATTCTATAATAAGAATACATCTCATACCCACCAAAATGACTAAAATGATCTATAATATTATCTTTACATGCTTATAAAGACAAGGAGAAATGTAACTCATATATTATTGGAGGGGGTTTAATTGTCATAACAACTGTGGAAAACTGTTTGGTAACAAGTGCTGAAACTGACTGCATGCATACTCTATGATCCAGCAATTCTGCTCCTTGGTATAGTCCCCCCAGACATGAACATATTTTCTCACCAGGGCAGGTAGCAGCACCATTAACAACTTTAAACTATCATGGAACAACATATATGTCCATTAACAATAGATGAATAAATACATACATATACTTATCACATATAATTGTACATACATATTGCATCATGTATTTTATAATAAAAATATACATACCATATACTTTCATAATAAATATGTAATAATCATATAATTGAATAGGATGGAGTCGTGAACATGAATGAATTCTATATGCAACACAATGAATGACTCTCATTAGTGTAACACTGAGCAAAAAGCCAGACGCAAAAGGATAATTATTGTATGATTCCATTTACAACACATTTTTTGGGTAGTTATTGGTAATACTGAGCAACTTGTGGTATCTTAGTTTCCTGATCAGAGATTGAACTTGGGCCCTGGCCATGAAAGCGCTAAGTCCTAAGCATTGGAACTCCAGGGAATTCCCTACAACACATTTTTAAAATGATGATAGACATCTATAGTAAGAGAATTCAGTACAATGGTTAACTTTAGAAGGATGGTGATTGAGAGAGGTCTCAAGAAGGGGAAGTTTGGAGATGCCAGTAGTCTTCCACTTATTCATCTGGCTAGTAAGTTATGTGAGTACTACACGTTGGGCATATTTACTGAATTGTACCTTTGTTATTTGTGCACTTTTCTTTATGATTCTGTACTATAACATCACATATACTACTATAGGGGCTTTCCAGGTGACTCAGTGGTAAAGAATCCACCTGCCAGTGTAGGAGACAAGGATTTGATCCCTGAGTCAGGAAGATCCCTGCAGTAGGAAATGACAACCCACTCTAGACTTCCTGCCTGGAAAATTCCATGGACAGAGCAACCTGGTGGGCTATAGGCTATGGGGTCGCAAACAGTTGAACACAACTGAGCGAATGAACATGGATATACTACTGTAACAAAATGCCTAAAAAATAATAAAATTTGAAAAAATCTGCTTAGAACTCACCAATTCATTTCGTTCATCTCCAAGCAAGGTATTCCTGTCTTCTAATTTTCTTATCGTGGCGTTCAACTCAGCTATTCTCTTTTGATTTCTTCGCAAATCCTACACATGAAAATTAAAATGGGAATTTCTTCAATAAAACTTTTCGCAAAGTTTTAGAATGCTGCTCTTAAAAGTAATAGGCTTAGTTCCTTTCACCTGGTTTATGAGTTGAGAGTAAAATGTCCTCTTACTCAGAGGAGAGTAAATATTTACCTTATTCCAAACCCCCAAATTCACTGCTTGGGTTTAAGATCACACCTGGTTGAAACTGCAAATGAATTCTATGTGGCAGATACTCCCTGGGGCCCTGACTCCTGACAAAGAAAGTGGTAGAAAGTTGGATCAGTTTGCGAGACCTGTGAGCTGTGAGATCAGGGTCATGCTGTGATTACATGAGGTTCAAGGAGCATCCTATGTCATGGCTGCACAGTGCTTCCCATAGTTAGATAGGTGTCCTGCTATCACATTTAGCTAAAGAGAGTGTAGAATAGGAGGTAGGGATGGGAGCTGCAAATTCCTGCATACCTTTGGAGAAAAAGGTTAGATTCAGAAGGTTGGTGTATTACCTCCATATATGAGACACAGTAGATTAACGGACAGACTTTGGTGGTAGATTTTGCCCAGATGAGCTGGCTTCCGCACTGGTGTAATAGTCATGGAATCACTTGACACATAGCAATCATAGATTAATTCTGTGCTCTTGAGTCCACAGGACCATTACACACGCACATGTCCATTATCACTTTACATTTTGACAGTGCTCTACTGTTGACAAAGCAGTTCCACACACATTATATCTCTAGATTCATAGTATCCTGGAGGATTTTGCAGAACCAAGAAGATTTAGCAAGGTCTAAGTTGTTCAAGGTCTCTATCGGTAGCTCAATAACTACCATGTATTGGATGCTATGCACCAGACACTATGCTCAATATTTTGCATATCTTTTCTCCTAACCTCAGACTAGCTCTATGGAGTACCACTACTGCCTCTGTTTTACAGATGCAGGAACTCTGAGCTGTCAAAGGATCTGCTAAAGTCACACGACAAACAGCAGATCCAGAATTTAAACTAAAGGGTATGACTTCAGAACATATTCTCTTGACAATTTTGCTACACTGCAGGTAGGTGTCAGTGATAGAACTAAAACTTACATCTGCTAAAATCTAGTTCAGTATTCTTTCTGCCACCTACTAGGATATATATATATATATATATGTATATATATATATATATCTCAATTCATAAATTATTCATTACTGAGTTCTAAGTATTAGCAATACTTTGAAATCTATCTTTGTTCATAAATAATACATTGTCATCTTTTTAGCCAATAAATACTTTGAGAGATAAAAGATATGAAAGTAAACTATATACAAGCTGATTTCTATCACTAAATGTCTAAAAATAATTTCTCATATAGAATGATGAAAATACAGGAAAATAAGTGTCAAACTCAACCAGACTTGAAGTTTTCAGATGATGGTTACAAATGGTTTAGTCTTTTACACAGTTATACATTTTGACCCCTGTACATGATAACCGTTTTTACCAGTTTCCAATTCAATTGTTCATACAAGGGAATATTCCCAGTCTTGGCAGGGGGCAAAGTATTTTCATCTAATTGGTGATTCTTAAAATATGCTGATGTCTGGACAGGTATCATTTGGCTAGAAAAGTTCTATGAAGAATTTTAAAAGATCTGTAATTCTCTTGTGATCAGCTAAGAGCAGTGCAGATCACTTTGTTGTCTATGAGTATAGAAAACCCTGCTCCCAAGATACTCCCTGGTTTTATAGCAGGAGATAGAATTGATTTCTCTGTAGTAAACAGGAAAAGAGCTTAAGTGAAAAGTAAAACTTAGGTACTAAATAAAAGATGACTCCTGAGTCTTTAACTTCAACTTGAACAGACTTACTGGACTGCTGCAGTGTTCAGAGCCGTCTCCTGCCCTTCCTGGGATTTCTCGTTTTGGACTGCTCATGTTACATTCAGCCTCCTTGACCAGAAAGAGCTGTTCATCCAAAGCCTCCTTCTGGAGCTGGAGCTTCTGTACATAGCCTGTTTGGGTCTCCAGTTCCTTTTCCAGAGAAAAGATGATCCTGTCCTTGGCTTTGATCTCATCCATCTGAATTAAATGACACCCAGGACATTTTGTTTAACAATGCTGCAAAGAAATGCATCTTCACAATGGTATGAGCTTAACTTCTTTCTGCTCATTGAAACAGGAAAAAAAATCATGAATATGACAAGTATATTTAATTCAGGAGTAAGGCAAACTGGTGTCAAGGAGGGTAATTTTTTTTCTCTTTAGTATACCCTGTGTAGATGCTATGATTCAGTATATTGTTTGAAATAGTCTGGGTTGGTTGAATATAGAAAGCAAAAGTTACCTTGAAGACAGGTTATTAGTGTTAATTAAAGACAGATACTAAATATTCTACTACAATGTTTCCCAGGACAACGTGTGATGTTACTTCCTATTTGGGGGAACAATCTTTGAATTCCTTTTAAAAAGCAGTAACAACAATGAACAGGTCATTGAACCTGAACAAGCTTCAGTATTTCTAGTAGCTTCATCATTTTCTAAGGCCAGTATGTTTGCATTCAGGTGATGAGTTTGTCCTTCCATGGTTCATATTATACGGCTCCTTTCATTCCTATCCATTTTCCAGAGCAGCTAGTTCTTAGCAACCATTTTATTATTACCATCAGAAAATCATGGTTGGGACAAGAACAGGAACGGAAAATACCTGGCAATATTAGCCACTGTTTTCCCACCTGTATCTGTGGGATACATTTATTGTTAAGTCTGAGCATGGTTTCAGAAACACTTCTCAACTAAAGGCCAAAAGCATTTGGTACCTGTTGATCAGATTTCCATCAGACTAAAAACTTTCTGCCATCCCTGGGTGAGGGCTAGTGAAATAATTGTCTATAAACAATCTTTGAAGAAAGCAAGCCTTTCTTCTCACTTCATTATATTCTATGAGAATATTAAAAATGAAAATAGGGTAGGTAAGTAGACACATTTAACATAAATAATATTATACTGTTCTCCTTTTTATAAGAATGTCTCCTTACACATAACAAATCACTTTGTATAAATATTTCTTTGCTGTGTTCCTAAGACCAAAATACATTTTTGAATATATTTGGGACAGAAATTGTGTTATACAAATCACATTTACCCACATGTAACTATTTGTGAGCTACTGCTTCCAAGTCACACGATTAAATTTTAGATCATTGTGGGGAGGTCACAGTCCTGGGATATCATCTGATAATTTTGGCACTGCCCTGTTAATTTGGGAGTAAATGCATTGTCTTTATTTCTATCTCCTTGTAATAGACTTGAGTCTAGTGTTATTCTTATCTAAGTAGCATGTTCATTTGCTAGATCTGTTATCTATCATTTATTTACAGTTTACCAGCACTCTAGATCTGCATGTTCCTACTTGGTTTTGATGTACCCTACATAAATAAACCTGCTGGGAAATCACCTCATCACACCCATATATTCATTCTCATCATCATAACTGAAATTTATTGATCTTTTAATACATTCAATGCATTCAAGGTCTTACATATCTTATCTCATTTTAAAACAATCCTATTATGTAGTTCTGTTATCACTGCTTCACAGGTGATAACTGAGGACCCAAAGGGTAAAGAGCTTGATCATGGACATACCTGATTTAAAATACAGACTTATGACCCTAGAGCCCATTCTATTAGGCACTGTGCTATACTTCTGCCAAGATTACCCTTCCAGCATTTTCTCAAAGAGGTTTTCTGTAGAATATCAAGTAACTAGTGTCAAGGAGTCTCAATTGCATACTGGTGGTAAGCATGGACTCTGGTTTCAGAATACTGAAAATCTTTCAAATTCCTAGTTCTTAAGTAGGGAGGGGGTACATACCAGAATTCTCTGGGGAAATTTTCTACACAGGATCACTCCCATTTCTCTCCCTTTCTGTTCCACAAATGGAACTGGGTGTTGGGGTAAGAACAAGATTAGAAGGAATAAACGAAGACAAGTACTTCTGTATTATTGAAAAAGTTTCCCATTTTTCTGTTTGCACTCAATTTTTGAACTAACATTCAGAGAAACTAGATTGTACACTGTTACTCAGAGAGATATCATGTCTGTCTCTGCAATGTGCCAGTGAAAAGAAGTCATGAAAAAATTATAACCATGGATGGGTTGATGTATTTGTAGACTTATACTGAAACCATTGACAAACAACAATATTTAATGTAAAGCTTCCTTTTCATTTACCTACCTGCTGACTCCAGAGTTCACATCCTGATTCTTTCTTCAACAGCCACTGGTGTTTTAAAAACCAAAGGCAGGGCAGAGAATAATATTTCTGCACTGCATTTGGTCTTTATTGTCAACCAATACAATAGCACAAATTGCAGATTAAAAAATTTGTAAAGTGTGGCAAAGGCAACATTTACAGTCACACCGTATTGCAGTACAAAGAAAATTACATATTTAATTTTTTTCTAATATGTCCTCTGATAACCACTTTTTACATAAAATTGAAATCCTAGCAATATCATCCAAGGGACATAATTAGAATTCTCAGAATATAAGTGGTTAGAATCATCAGATACAAGAAGGAAAGTGTTTTTAAAGTTCTTTTCTAAGAAAATATTTTTAGAGAAGCACGAAGTACACCTGAACAGGTGCTAGTTAATTTGATAATATATAACCCAGATATAACTGATGCTAAACATTCTGAATACAGATGCAAATAAACACTTCTAAGACAAGGTCAATTTGCAACATGATAGCTTTCACACAGTAATTCTATTTGTTTTACTTTTAAGCATAGCGAAAAGACTGATGTGGCTTTTGGTCATACACATTAAAAAAAAAGCTTCAACTCAGTAGGGGTTGAAGTCAGTCTTAGAAATTGGTAATAGCAAGTAAGCTAGGTAGGAATGACAACCAGTTTAAGAATTATAATGGTCTCTATTTTGAATTGCCTCCATTTACTTTGGGAAAGATCTATTTGTAAAATGACTAGGGGTTTTATAGCTCTATGTCTTGCCTTCAGACATGGTTCCTGGGGAGAAAACACGTGAATCCCTCAGTATGTTCCCAGTGGCTGCCATTTTCAGACACCTTGAAAGCCAAAGAAAATTCCCCTGCCCCTGTAAAAACATTATATAAATGGAAAGCCTACAACACATGCCGATGTTGGAAGAGTATATCATTCAGAAAATTTCTATATACACCCAAGGAAACAGGAGCCATTAAATAGATAACTCTCCATACGTGTGAGGCTAGAAAAATCCACTTTTTATGAGAAAGTTGACTTCAAAATCTTTTACCTTTTACAATGCCAATTTTGGCCTGGGCGCATCTATTTACCTGTCGACTTATCTTGTACTAGACAGAAGGAGGGCACTGTTTATAATCGACTTATGAAAAAACACCCGAAAAAGCAAGCCCCACGGCGCTCGGAAGCCTGGAAAGAGAACGGTTCTGCCCTGGGTTACTAACCAGCCTCCGAATATCCCGCTCCGACTCCCACTTGATCTTGGAGATGGCTTCCTGGTGGGACTGATGCTCACTCCTGAGGTCCCCAGCCTTGATTTTATCCGCTTGGATCATGTTGCTCAGCGCCTCGTCCACCTGCTTCTTGGCCGTTTTCAGGTCCGCAATCTCCTGTAAGAGCTTAAGGCGCTCGGCGTCGAACAGTTTCCGGGCCTCCTCGCGGGCCTCGATGGTGAGCGCTGTCCTTACTTTGTCGCTGCTGCCGTCCCGCAGCGCGCACAGCGCCGACTTGAGCCTCTGGATCTCGCCGTCCCGCACCTTCACTGTCCGGGCCATCTCCTGCTCGTGCTGCTTGATGAGGTTCTCCCGCACGGCCTGCAGCTCCTTCATCTTCTCCTCGTGGAGCTTGGTTTTGAGCTCCGTCACCAGGACCGTGTGCTTCCGCTGCTCCAGCTCGCGGATCCGCTTGGCTTCTTGAGTCTTCTCTCGCTCGAGTTTAGATACCTGAGGGGCGAAGGGAGGAAGAGAGGTGAGCCTCAGCAGAAAGATGTGCTCCTAGGCAGGACTGGCAGCTCGGATCCCGGGGGTCTCCTCACCTCTTTTCAAATTCCAGCCCACAGTGGAAGGAGGGAGCGGGGAGGGGGCCGGCGGGAAACCACAGGCCTTTCTATGCTGGGAGGACAGCATGGGAGGGCTTCCCTGACAGCTCAGTGGGTAAAGAATCCACCGGCAATGCGGCAGAATCCGGTTTGATTCCTGGGTTGGGAAGGTCCCCTGGAGAAGGGATAGGCTACCCAACTCCAGTATTCTTGGACTTCCCTTGTGGTTCAATTGGTAAAGGCTCTGCCTGCAAAGCAGGAGACCTGGGTTCAATCCCTGGGTTGGGAAGATCCCCTGGAGAAGGGAAAGGCTACCCACTCCAGAACCTGGAGAATTCCATGGACTGTACAGTCCATGGGGTCACAGAGAGTCTGACAAGGCTGAGCCACTTGAACTTTCACTGTGTGTGAAAGCAGGACGTATCCGAGGATGCTTCCAATACTTTGTTCAGACAAATACTTGATGTTCTGGGGCTTTACTATTTTGTACAGTCTTCAGGCAAGCAGCACAGGCATCACCCAGAGGCTTATCAGAAATGCAGGGGATCTATCCCAGACCTATGAATGAGAGCCTGTGTTTAACACATCCCCCAGTGACAGACATACGCATTGCAATTAGGAAGTTGTGCTCTGATGTTTTACATCTTGGTGAGGAGTTCAAAATAGATCATCTGGAGATCATTCTAGACTACACATCCCTAGTGAGGTCTAAACTGATAACTGTGCATGTCCTAGGACACCCAGGATAGTCTATAGTTCAATATTTTGATCAGACTAAAAAGTGGTGCCTAAAGTGACAGCATAAAACATTTCCCTTTCTTCTTCTTCTTCTTTTTTTTTCTTTTTTGAAGAGAAGATAACTGCTGCTAAGGGGGAGGTGAGGAATGAAGATGGTTGATATGTCCTCAACTTCACCTTCCTTATCATAGCAACTTGGTTCCAGCCCCCAAATTTTCACAGATACACACACACCAGCAAAAACCCCGGCAGTACAAGGACCTCTGTGTTACAGGAGGTCAGTGGCTGTTATTTTGGCTACATGGGTGTCTGTCTGCATTCTTCACTATCCGAACTCTTATCTCCCTCTCTTCCCTATCTATGTCAACACTCTGGGGAATTTAATAAAGTGTTGCTTCTAATCTTTTTACCTGCAAGGAGAAAAAAAAAATTCTCCTGTGTTTTTTTACTATTTCCAATGGTAATACAGGTCTCTTTATAGGTAAGCAATAGCACTGCCTTAATTTGGCTGTGAGTTCATCTCTGATTTAGTAGATAAGTGTGTGGCCTGGCATCTGTAGCTTAAAAAAGCCTCACTAGGCTCTTGTACTGTCCTCCTCCTACTGTCGTCTCTGCTGCCTTTCTTTGTTCCTCTGTCTCAGTCTTTTGCACACATACACACACAGGCAGTAACCTAGAAAAAGGGAAAAACCGGGCAGCCCCAGGAGTAATATCTAGGTGAGTGATACTGAGTCTCTGCCATTTGTAAAATTAGAATGGTTTGCAAAATAATTGCTGAGCCTTTCCAGCTGAAAAATTGTAAGATCCAAATTCCTTATTGAAACAATTGTAATTATGACATAAAGTGTCTGAGATTTTACTTACCTTAATGGTTTACCTACCTTTAGCTAGAACAGGATTTTTTAAGTCCACACGGCATTCTATGAATATTTGATTTTAAAGGTACAACAATTATTCCCACGTAGGTTATTCTAAAAGGACTCGGGACACAAGGAGATTTGACGAAATAAACAGTCAGGCATCCCCAAACGACTGTTCTCGGGTCTTGCCTCCAGCCCAGCCCCAGGTACCCTCCCAAATGTCTGTTAGCTCATAGGTTCTAGAGCAGCGCTGTCCCACACGGTGGCCACTAGCCACAGCGAGCACTTGTGATACTGGAAAGTCTGAACTGAGCCTGGCCCTAGGTACAAAATACTCATCCCATTTCTAAGACTTAGTATGAAGTAAACATTAATATAGCATTAATAATTTTTATATTGGTTGAAACTATAATATTTTGAAGTTTTTTTTGGCCTTGTGGCATGTGGGATCTTCCTCAGGCGGGGTTCAACCCCTTGTTCCTTGCTTTGGAGTTTTGGGTTTTTAACCATTGGTTTGCCGGGGAGTTCCAAGCTTTTTTCCTTTTTTTTGGTTAATTTGGTTAAATTAAATTTTCTTTTTAAATTTATTTGGCTTATTGTTACTTTTTAAAATTGTAGTTACAAGAAGTTTTAAAATCACATATGTGGCTTGCATTTGTGGCTTGCATTATATTTCTTTTGGACAGCATTACTCCAGAGTTCTTGGAGGTTCATTTACCAAATTGAGCTTTCATCACACTGCTGCTGACATTCTCTTAGGAAAATCCTGTTATGATCTATGTGCCAGGGCTTCTTCCTGTTGGGGAATAGAATCCCAACACTTCGACTGCCCCTTTCAGCTTTCAGAAGACTTGGCTGGACTTTCAGCCCCTATTTTAACTCCTCACTCGACATCTCAGGCATAGAGCAGTATTCTATTTTCTGCACACACCCTGAATCTCTACACCTCTGTGCCTGCCTAAGTTTCTTCTTCCTGAGCCGCCCTTCCCTCAGCTCCTTTTGGGATCCTCTCATTCCTCCTGACCCAGCTAGATGCTACCCTCTCTGGTCATATCACCCTGATCACCCAGGACCAAGCTCGTTTCTTCCATTTGTCTTCTCAGTGCAGTTTGTTAACACCTCCTTGCTGGTCTCTTCCACACTTTTCTTTATGCTGTGTATATATATGTATTTTTGTACACTTGTCTGTCCTCACTATCTCCTCTCTTACCCCACCTTGATTGGAAACTCCTAGAAGGCTGCCAGTGAGCCGTGTTCATCACTGTCTACCCAGTGGTTGTCAGCACAACACAGAAGACAAAAGAGCATGGGTGAAATTAAAGAACGTAAGCCAATATGTTTCCCTGGCTAGCCTCGTAACCAGAGGCAGGAATAATGTATCCTGTCATACATTTTAGAGAACATAGGCTTGCACTGTTACCCAGAGCAGCCCTCATCCATCCCTTCCCTGTATAAAACAATAAAAGAAAAATACCCCCAACATATAATGTCTGCCTGTGCTCTGTTTGATATTTCTCCCAATGCTTCAGTAATGACTGCCTAAATCTTACTTCCCATTTTTTCTACAATGAACTGAAGAAGGGCTTTCTAGACTATGAGTGGGTAAACAGTACCCCATGAGCCAAATCTTTCCCGCCCCCTCCCCCTTTGTGAATAAAGTTTTATTGGAACACAGCCAGGCCCATCTATTTCCATGTTGCCTATGGCTGCTTTCATGCTACAATGAAGTTGAGTAGTTTCACAGAACCTCTCTGGCCCACAAAGCCTAAAATATTTACTCTTTTGTACTTCACAGAAAATGTTTGCTGATTCTTCTTTAATATAATATAATTTTTGAAAAGAGGGGCCTTATTTTTCACTGAGTTAGAATCTCTGATAATTTACCTTCCATCTAATTTACCTTGGGAAATTAACTCAAGTGATAGGAAACTATCATCTTCAATTGAAGATGAAATTGATCATCTTCAATTTCGGCAGGATGTATTTACATTCCTTAGGCATCTGGAACAGTATCATGACCATAACAGCAGATAGGTAATGGGTTATAAGGGGAATTTTAGCAGCTTTTCCTAAAACAATGAAAAGCTGTAGTAAAAATGGATAAAGGGTAATGAATTCTGGGTTTGTATTTTGATTTCACCATCTACTGTCTTTAAGAAAGTTGCTTTATCCTGAGGATCTTTGATTACACTTTAAAAAATACCTGTAAAAGACATATTTTTAGGATTAAATTAGATAACAAATGGGAAAGTAGCTTAAATTGTAAAGTACTGTAAAATGTAAGGTAATATTATATTGGATATAAGAGGAAATACTCATGACCTAAAATTATTTATGTGAAGTTCTCTGCAGGCGTATTAGATTATACCAGTTTGTGATTCTGTAATTTCTCTCAAGTTATAAACACTAATCTTTTATGTGTAGACTGGAAAGGAGATGAATGAAAAAGGAAAAAAAAAGTGAAAATACAGGTGTATGGAAAATATACTCCAGCATGAAGACAAAACAAATAGGAACACACACTGGCGTTTTTGTCCATCACTTAAAGGAATCCACAGAATTCAAAAAAAGAAAAAGAAAAGATATTGAGTTACTTTTGGCACTTTTTAATGTCTACTTATTTGGTTGTCATGGAAACTTTCATTTTTGGCAGTATTTCTAGGTACTTTTTTTTTTTTTAACTTTGAAAGGGTTTTCCTTTTGAGGGGGTTCGAAGGATTTTGCTTGCCTTTTGGGGGGAAAAGGGGGTCATTAAAATTTTTTTGTTAAAATTTTTTTTTGAAATTTTTTTTTGGTTTTGTTTTTCCCCTTAGGAATTGGTTTTTATTTTTTTATTTTAAAAAAATCTTAATGTAAATCATGAAAATGAGTATACAAAAAGATGAAGAACTACTCCTGAGTAATATGAAAAAATGTGAAGATAATACTTTGAATGGTAAAAGTTAATTAGTTGATTGAAGAGAGAATCAGTTTTTACTTGTGGAAATGTTATATGGACAAAAATTTCAGCTCCACCACAAAAAATAGTAGGCATTTATCGGGGGCTTAACATACTATGTATGAATTAGGCACTTTTTTAAAGGCTTTACACGTATCAAAACACTTAACTTCCTAGGTGGTTCTACGATGTAAGTAGTATTTATTACATCTGATTTTCTGATGAGAAAAATGGGGAACAGACTCTACAGAAGCACAACATAAAGAAGGCTGATCAGGGTCCAGGTGGGCCAGGAGCCAGGTCAGGGCAGATCCCAGATCTCCTAGTTTGCTCTGAAAGCTTTGGCAAGCTGGGGCCCCAGACTCAGCC